GTCGGCAGACCTGAGTATCTATATTCAACCAATGCCCTTACTCGGTCGGGGGGCCCCTTGAGCTGTGTGTCCACTGGGGGACTGTACGTTGCAGGTGTAGGGAGACTGCCCTACAGCCCCAGGCCATGAGGAAGACCAGTACCTTTAGTCCACAGATTCGGTACCTTCAGTAGGCCGGGTCTTCCCTTTGTCGGGCGCCATGGTAGGCACGGATGTTCTGCTGTTCCCGCGGTGGTTGGGCTTCCAGCGATGTGGTCGGTGTCTTGGTTTTTTTCCGTTTGGTCTTCGGCCCAGGGCGAATCATTTTTAGATGATTAGTGGCAGCGGCTCTGCATAGTTTGTCCGAGGTAGGCCCCTTCCACCTCTGCTCCCTCACCCATCCCACCTCTTCCTACGGGTCAGGTTGTGCCCGTCTGATGCGGTGCTCTAGGCGCACCCAGAATCTGTTAAAGATTCTGCATTCTTTAAGATAGTATGCCGTCGGCTCTTGGACACCAGGCTGTGGTCGTGTGCGTCCGCCATCTTGTGTGGTATGTTGTCTCCAACACTTTGGCGAGGTAATGCAGCCGGGGCCAGCTTTACTGTGTGCTGTGGGTTGAGGGGTACTGGGATGACTCCCGCCGGTACAATGGGGGGGACCCAAACCCTAAGTTGCTGCGTGCCATGGCCGAGGGAGAGCGGCCATCTCTCCCACGACATCCATGTGCATCGCACTTCAGGCTAAGCCACACAGCGTATCTGCAGATCCGTTGGGGTGAAGTTCAAGATTCGGGTATCGTTGTGTGCCCACTCAGATGCAGACTAGCCCTCTGGTCACAGAAAGTTGTTTTCGGCTGGGGAATATTCTGAGAAGGCGACGTTTATGTTGGATGATGCTAGAGCTGTTCAAATAGTTATTTTTTATAAAACAAATTCTGAAAAACTTGTCTAGCTGTCAATCACAGATCTAATGGCAGTAGCTTCTCTCTGAAGTATAAGTATGCCTGTCAGCCTCACAGTGCCCACATTAGCTCTGCTTTGTATTCATCATGGATAACATATATGCATACCTCCGATCTCCAGTGTCCTGAGAATCGCAACGCCGGTGATGTGATTGTGTCAGAAAGAGGGCGGGTAAGCTCCAGTTAATGGTACATTTATGCCAGGCTGCTCGACGATCATGCTGGCCAGCCCATTGATGGCAGGACATGCAGGGAGCAATGAAACAGTGTAGGGTTCTAGTGCCATAATCATAGCATGAGTGATGCACTTGTGCTATGATTATTGGGAACAGTTCCCTGCTGTCCCCAAAAGTGGGTCACCAGGCAACTAAGTCGGGATGGCCAGACAGGACCTGAAAATTGGCCCTGCCCTGCCGAATTCTGGATGGTTGGCGCTCACATCTCAAAACAAGAGGCTTCTCAATGAGAAAGATTGAACGTCTGTGCAGGGAAAATGGGAGGGCTTGCAAAAGCTGCAGACAGTAGCTTTTGCAAACTCTTTTTAGATATCCCTTTAATGCAGAAATGCTGCAATAAATGCGTGCATGTTTTGATTGCAGGTATATCTACTAAATTATTTGAAAACAATTATTGCAGTGTTCCTTTAAGAACAGTTTTAGCTTATACATGACTCAAAACCCTTGTACTAATGCACCCGGGGCCACCATCAATAAAGCAAATTCAACCACATTGCTTCTGATTCAATGACAGCACTCTGCAGGACTAGGACCCTATGACAATAACGCAGAGCTTCCAAACCCAGTGATAAAGGAATTCTTTTATATGGGGGGATTAGCAAGAGCTTGATGAACTTGGCCCATTCCATTCTCTGGGGAGAACAATAAAAGCTCAAAGGTTGGTCCATTTATAATTGGCCTTTAAGACAATTGATCTTTTAGAGAATATTGATGCCTTTACAGCAACTTACTGCAGAGTTCCACTGAAATCCCTGTTACAGCCAATATACATTCTGATCAGAGGAATCTGAGAGAGATCGTTTTTTCTGACCCTTGAAAACCTGCTTACTCGATGTATAATTATCTTCATTCAGTCATTTCTATTCTTTTCTGCTTCCCACACACGGATCCCCTCCCAGTTTACTTGCTCAGATCAAAACTGAAACCTTACCTCTCGCAGCTTATTAAACAACCGTCACACAACATTATTACTTCCCCACAAACACACCTGGCACTACAAATACATTCGTTACCTTTGACATATTCCACATATTTCACAGAATAGTGAAGTCCTACTTCACCACATGAAACTGATTTTTATTTTGTTTACACTGGGTTGCTTATAAAACAAAAAAAAAAATGCTGCGTTCAGGCTGATATCATTAAAGGAACACTGTAGTGCTAGAGTAGAAGTTTAGGTTTCTGGAGTGGATTAAAAAGGTATTTTATTTATCTTGTCTGCATCGCAGCGTGGTTCTTATCGTGGCTGGCCACTTCTTCATTCACTGACACAGATCTCGTAGGAAAGCATTGGGAGACTATTGAACATGCGCAGCAAAACGATATCATGTGCCAATTAGCATCTCCTGTGCCAATTAACACAAGGTATAAGTGAAGTTCAATGTTTTAAATGCTTTAAATTCCATTTCAGGGAAGTGAATGCTTTCCTTTAAAATGTTGACAGTCAGTTTATTTTATTCAGTGTAGAGTTCACACCTGTGCTTGGGACATCATAATAAATTAGAACGTCTTTAATTTGTGCACAGTTAGATTTTGAGTGTATAAGTAGAAGCTGGCTATGCTGAATTGCTGAAGCCTCTTTGGCAATGAAGAATTGACACAGGGAGTTTAAGTCAATTTAGTGTCAAAGGTGTTCTGGTTCACTCTGGAAAGGCAACAGGCCTCAGTGCTATATACTCCAGTGCTTCATATAAGGATGGCACCAACTGAAGAGTCGTGGTCAGGGTGCAAAGGAAAACGTATTTTTCTTTTTTTATTAAATGAAAATAGCTGGACAAAACTGAACCACCAATACCAGCCTTAGATCGACGGGATTACTCTGTAAAGTGTGCATTGTTATTTAACCAGGTAATACATATTCAACCAAAATGCCAGAATTAGAGAAATTGTAATCGTGCCATATTGTGTTCTCATCTCAGGCATTTTGTGGTAAATTTGCAATTGCCTAGTGAATAACTTACCTTGCAATACAGCTATCACAATGTATATGTGAATTACTTTATTCTTCAAAGTGATACCAAGTCATGCTAAGTAAGACAGGTGAAAGTATGATTTATTTGTGTTCCCCCAATAAAATGAGCAAAGTGACCATCTGCCTTTCCATCACTAAACCTCAGGCCTAGAAAGGCATTTCTAGTTATATAGCATTCTCATTCTTGTGTTACTGTACATCCAACTTGTTCTCCTGCAACTACTTGTTTTTGTTAGTTTACCTATTGTACAGTATAATGGAATTTTTTGGCACTTTATAAATTATAATTACCAGGACTCGATATGCCACCAACGTTAATGGCATAAAGTTTAATTAACTACGTGTTGGTAAATATGGGGTTAAGAAGGAAGGAGTGCACTGACGTACCAAACCACAAAACATTGGATGGTGGCCCCGTGTGCATTAGTACAAGGGTTTTGAGTCATGTATTAGCATTAAGCCATGTGACCTGCATCTGGCTTGCAGATTAGCTATACATATTTACACTGTCCGTAAATAAAAGGAACTACTACTTTTTACCACACTAGTTGCTCAGACCAAGTAAGAAACATGAGAACACGTTCCATGATCCAGCTATTGTCTATTCAATATCTCAGAACTTGCAGCTGAATCTGGTGAATTCAAAATGTTTGAGTGACATGATAAAGGGCTGACCATCTTTCTGCTGCAGGGACAGTAAACAACCAAGTAATGCTTAGATCGTCATATCAAACCACATTCCATTGTGACACTCTTGGACAATGACTTAGCATTTTACATAAGTATGTGCTTCCCCAGACACGAGATCCGTTCTTTCGTTCAACTTGTAAGTGGTATTCTTTGGTGATCCTCTGAGGCTGGATCACTGTCCTGGAGAATACAATGTCTACCTTACCAAATAGACACAGGGGAGGAATGTCTAAAAAATTTATGCAAAAACTGCCATTTTCTTCAGCTTGATTTGTAGCTTGTTTTTTCCCCATAAAATGTTGTATAAATGAACTTACATTTGTATGTAATCCCTGTGCTGTTTTTAAAAAGAGATTACAGTAAAAATGAAACAAGCAAAAAAAACAACACTAAATTAGAGAAGCTGTATTATTTGTGGAAAATAGTTATTAAATGTTAGTACTTATACTAATCAAAAGTGCCCGTTTACAGAGACTCCTCACATATGTGTAGGAGGAAGTCAGCAGCTTGTGGGCCACTGATTTTAGGTCCTCACAAACCTGCTTTATGGATGTTTATTCATTAACAATAAGTGGACGATGGATTTGCCAAATTTAATTCAAAAAGAGCAGAATCACAAATTTAAATGACAAGATGTTTCAAATTCAAACCCAAAATGAAGTGCAAGTTTTTTTTGTTTTACCACTTTATTTATGTAAAGGCTAAACATGTAACTGTAAATATGGTATCCTAGTTGTGTCAACAGGTGGGGCAATGCACAGTGGAAAAAAATACATCACTTTTCAACAAAGAAAAGCAGCAATATCTTAAAAATACAATTCTAACTGTTCCTGGAGAATATGACAATGAAAGAAACTTAAAGTTTGATGAGCCTTGTTCAAATCAGTCAACAGAGACTGGAGAATATACATTTCCAAACACTACAGTACACTGTGACCCTTGTATTTACTATTCTATCCAGTATCCAAATTCAAAAGTGCTTTCTCACAATGAATAAAGACTGGTGTGTGTCTGGTATATAGCTGTACAGAAGATTCCCAGTCAATGGGTGATTGTGTACATTAACACAACAGTACAAATACTAATCACTGTCAGCTGTTATAGGTACTGTGCGTTTGCAGGTGTAATATATAGAGGTGCAATAAGAGGGACCACAAACATCTACACAGACAGATATGTAGAACTGTCCTCTACATTTATCTGATCAAAATTGGAAGGGTCCACGGCAAATTGTCTAAGCATGTCCAGTTCTAGAGGATGCATGCAGCCACTGATCACTAGGGAATGTAAGGGACCTCCTAAATCAACCATGCACAGCTGCTGCAGAGTCCCAGATGCAATCTTCTGGTCACACGCCCCCACTCTTGCCAGTCCTACACAGATCGTGTTTTCGGTAATAGCTGGCGATGCAAAAATAAATAAATAATATAAATATCAGAGGCTTAAGTACATGATCAGCAATTACACTTTATGTGTAAATCTTATTACAATGTTGGTCTAAGCAAGAACATCAAACCAGGGTGTAGCGGAACATTAACAGAACTTCAGGCAAAATTATTTTCAGCACTCAGCATTTTGGGGGGCTCAGAACCATAAAGCAGAATCAAATATCAATTAAACAAACATATTTTATATTTGTAGAATAACTAAAATGTTTCTTGGAGGTTAACAAGATTGGCTTCTGTTTTATTGAGCAGGTATGACATAGATATGGCTTTTGTTGACCCCGGTAAAATTAGAGACCATACAACATTTACAAGAGCCTACAAAAGGATAATAATGTTTTACAGACAGGTATAGATTAGCTTCAGAATATTTAACCATGATCCTTTTTAAGTCTAGGCAATGTAATTTTCAAGCCAACAGATTTGGGATTATGAGAAAAAGTAGGTAGGACTATTCTGTGGGCAATATTGGTAGATGATAGAACCGTAGTTACAAACATAGGTAATATGCTGAGAACCACATTATAATCAAAGAAGAAAGTCTGAGGACAAGTAACAGCAGAAAGAAATTGCAACACAGATAATTTTTACAGATGTAACAACAACCAGAAATATTGCCATGAGAGTAAGACTATTTAGTGAGTAATTAACTCGCTAATTTTGGGATCACAAATTTGTCGCACCCTTAGTGAAAATCAGCCAAATTCCGAAGACAAAAAGCAACTATGGACAGAGATCTTAAAGGAACACTATAATCCCCTTTTTCTTTTCTGTACCCCAAAAGAATAAAAATTGAAAAAAATGAACACTATAGAGTTAGGAACACAAACATGTATTCTTGGCACTACAGTGCTGAAATGCAACATTAGGTCCCTGGCCCACCTCTCTCCAGAGATTATACGTGGCGTTACTCATTTTTTCTCCCACACTGCATCAATCTCGCCATGGCTCGCCACCGGTGCTTAGATCATCAATTTTGATGATCTCAGCCAATCCAATTCTTTTCCACAGGAAAGCAATGCGAGGCTATCGCTCATACCTAACTGCGCCAATTCTTTTAACAGTGAACTGTAGTGAAAAGAAAATGTCACTAAAAAATAATTTGTGAAATTCAGGTGAAAACAGCAAAGCTGGTAATCACAAGGAGTTCAAGAATTTTCCCACTGCAACTATTTTGGCCTAATTGCTTGCAAAATGGCTTTGCAATGCCTCACACAGTTCATCTGAAGATAAGACAGCAAGAAAAAAAGCTGTCACCACGTGAGCTAGAATACGAAGTGACATCTTATCCTGAGTCACTGCTTCAGTCTTTAATAAATCCATATCTGTGAGAATGCTTCCACAGTAACAGAGGTCAGGTCAGCTCAGCCCTTCTGGTGGGTGAGGTGCTAAGAAACAGTTATTGTGTCTGTTGCAGCAGACATCCTGTGTGGTGTTGGTGTGTTACTTCAGGATTTGGCATACACACCCAGGATGTACAATTTGCATTTACCTCACCACAACTGGGTGGACATTAAAAGGTACACTATAGGCATTAAAACAACTTGCATGAAATAAACATTTTTTATTTTCAATCAGATGTTAACTTGCTCTAGAACTTTATCGCTTGCTCTCTAAGTTGAACTTTAATCACACACTGGAGGCTCCTGCAAGGTCTAGCAAGCCATTAACAGAGTAGGAGATACATTCTAAACTAAACATACTGTGCAATAAAGGAAGTTTAAACATTAGATCTCTCTTTATAGGAAGTGTCTAGTAAGGCTGTGTGAGTCACATGTAAGGTGTAACTAGAGCTGTAGTTTAACTCCTAAATGGCAGAGAACTGAGCAGTGAGACAGCAGGGGCAGGATCTATACACCAAAACTGCTGTAGACACGAACATATTTTGCATGATTTATGCATTTTTGAAGTTCAATGAGAAAATAGATATTATACATCTTCTACAAATAACTGCTTTGCGCATGAAGTGAGTGAAAGCTTTTTTTTAAACAAGAGGGACACAGAGATATTTCCTCACTTTATATAAAGCAGACTGTATTCTGCTTTGGTTTAGGATTAAATAGCCAGGTGATACCTTGTGTTAAGCAAACTTCTACCATGTCACAGTTTGCAAAGGTTGTTGGGAATTGTTGGTCTGTAATTTCTAAAGAACCTCTCCAGGCCTTTACATAAACTTTAGTATGTATTAAATCTGATTAGAGAGGGGCATAATTACCATGGCTATAAAGAACAATGTTGCTTTATTATTATTATTATTATTATTATTAATAATCTTATTACTATTTTTGCCATTAATATAGCCAGTACAAAATTAATACACATTTTAGGCTTAAACGGAACAAGTGAAAATAGTTTGGCACATTTGGCTATGTTGGCCTTTAATTTGTAAATTCACTAGCATTCCAACTTTAGTGAATAAATCCCACTGAATTGAGACTATGCAATTCAAGTGGTTAGTGAGTGCGATGGGTAAACTCAAATTCAGAAGCATGTGTCTGAAAAGAGCAAAAGGACATTTTAACCTCACAGTAATACACATCAGAGCAATAAACCCTACAGCAAGCACTTTAGATGTTATCAAGTGTGCAAATCATTACAAGGTTGATTAAGCTAATTATTGCCCTGTCAACCCATGTAAGATGTTTAAACATGAATACAATGTGTATGTATTACTGAATTAATGTTCTTCTGCATCAGAAACTATATAGAGATACTGGCAAAAAAATAATTTGTAACTTTTGTTTAATTTTGCTTTATTGCAGAAAATCACTCTCATTCATGTCTTTACAACTATTAAAATTGCTGAGATTATGGGCCAACCCTAGTCCAGATATTATGTTTCATAGGTAAATCATTAAATATGCATGCTCAATATTTAATCAAGCATGCCTTTCGTTAATCTGCACAAGCAGACCCTTGCATGCCACCCAAAGCGTGTGGAGAAACATTGGACACCTCCAAAGGCAGTGGCATAAGGCCCTGATCTCAGGAAGTCACAGAGTCTGTGGATTAGTGGCACTGGCTCATGGAGGAGTGCCTCATACGGGCTCCAATTTGTGACCCATTCAGGTGGACAGGGACATTACTCACGCTCCCTACCCACTCAAGGAATTGGGTGGCTGTCTCCAAGTGAACTGCCATATCCACCAGATACTGCGCCCTCGCCTTAACAGCAGCTATTGCACTTCATTTTCCCTTTTACATTTATTTTTATGATGTTTGATTGATATATATGGTCTCAGAGGTTCAAGCCTGTTAGTATTCACCATGTTAAGCTTAATTTATTTATTGTTCCTGGAATCTCTCACACTTCTGACACCATGATATTATTGGCATTTCCTTGTGCTTAGCTTGGCAACGATCCTATTCGAATTTTTCATAAAAATTAGGCAGTCTTTCATACAAGATTATGTCATTGTCAATATGTACTTCATCTCTGAAATATTCTTGCTGATATAACGCCATTTTCTTCTTTCTGCATTATGCTTATGTTGTCTCAATAAAACAAAGATTGACAAAAAAAAAAAAAGGTACAAATTTCAAGCGAGTGAGAATCCACAGACAGTTCTCTTCAGCTTCGGGAAAAGGTTGGTTAATTTGCATAGTCCTCTGTGCCTTTTTAGAACACAGTTGTCAAAAGGTTACTACAACCTTTTTAAATCACCTGCCTTTGTTCCCGCACTCCAGGCTCAGAGCGCATGCATTCACTCAAACCCAGTAAAACGGTGCTACCAAATGTCAAATGCGAGTGGAGCTTCTGGATTCCAGGCACGTTTACAGTTTCATTTTCACTATTACAGGGGTGGGGTGTCCTAATGTGTAATGTTCAGTATGGCATTTTAAAATAAAAAGTGAAACACCCAGATGTGACAGTTTCCTTTAAAATGAAATTCAAGTGAGCATTAGTAGGAATGTAATAAGGTGTGTAGAAAAAGTATCCAATTTTAAGTTCACTGTATCCTTACCCAGTTCCTCGCCAAGCTTCCTCCTGTTCTGGACAATCTCCATAAGCTGCTCTGCTGCCTGATTCACTGTCATATAACGGGGTGGTTCAAAAATTTTCCTACCCCTGCAATCAGAGAATGAAATAATGAATTATTAGGCATGCCAACTTTATGTGTTATGTGAACTAAACAAGAATCCAGGATAAACTCCTGTAGGAAGTTCAGCTGTACATTTAATTTGTACATATGCTCAATAGCCACTACTGATATCTTAAATCACTTGGCTCACACACACACACACAGTCCCATTTTTCCTACGTATTGTGTTCTCCCCCAATCATTTTGTCACTGATAACATTATAGGTTCAGTACCAATGATAAAAGTACAGATATTTTCACTTAAAAAGGAAGGCTCAATGAAAAATAAATATTTATATCAAATTCAACCATTTGCCAGTATATACCAGTAGAAAATGAGCATTCAATGCTATGCATGATTTTTGGGGGGTATGAAAAAGAGCTAGCTGACATTGGTTTCTGAACAAAACCCCTTTTGTTCAGCACATATTTTCCTGACTTTGCTGGACATTGTCCAATATGGACAAATAGTGTATGTGCTCAACTGGCTAATTACACACTTCTCATAAAGCTGTATTACAACAAATTATGTAATGTATGTGTCAGAAGCACAGAGGTAAGTGAAGCCCTCACTGCTATACTATATTTCCAAGGGAGTGAGGCAGGAAAACCCTCCCTGCTGTCTGGCTGAGAGACCGCATTTGTTACGAAAGGGATTCATTAAAAGGAGATTTAATCCTAAAGCAGTTCAGCAAGCTCAAACCACCAGACATGATGTGGTCTGACAAACACCCAAGATACTCACTTCATAAGATTCTCAATGGATTGCTCCTTCACTTTTATATCTGCAGGACAAGTAGGAAAGGATAATTGACAAAAGGCTTATACAATTTTTTTATTTTTTTTTAAATCTTTGATCCTGTATCTCAAATGATTATGCGTAGACAGCAGATGAAAAGCATCCAATGAAAAGGTGTTACCGGTTTTAGGACTCTGATTTCTCAAAAGCAGAGTTATTCACTAAGCTCAGAATTTTAGCAAATAAATATAAAATGACAAATCTCAGTCTAAAGGAGCCGATATGAAAAAAGTACATCAACTATAGTCAGAGCTTGGATATTGTAGCCTCAGCTTTGGCATTCTGATTGATTTTGCCAAATTTGGAGTTTAGTGAATAGCCCTGCAAGCATACAGAACAATAAACGAAGCAATGTCACACTTCTAGATTTTTCAGAAACCTTCCCACCTAGTAAACAAAGTGTGTGCATCCCACTCAGTCTGTTCCTCCTGATCTTGTCATAAAAACTCTCAGGCTTCCATGAGTCTGTCCAGAAGACAATAGAAACAGTCTCCCCAAAGTTATAGAGCTGGAACAAAATAAGCAGGTGTTAATTACAACCAGAGCGTAAATGGTATAGAAAACATTTTTCACACTATGAAAATAAAAATGGAATGTAACCATTTAATGTGACGGATACATGCCTAAAATGCAATCAACATCAAATCACATATACGTAGCATCAGATTTTGTAAGAATGTGTTTGAGGATTGTTGTTATGTAGATTCTTTAATTAGATTTTTAGCAATGCTCTTTGTAGATTTGTATTGTGTTCTGAAAGGAGGGGAGTAAGGAGGAGAAGAAATCCAGGGATATTTGATACAGGGCACAGTTGTAAAATTACACTTCCTTACATTCACTTGTATAAACTTGTATAACACCAAAATAAACCCATTCTATTCACATCTTAAAATAGGGTTCAATAAAGATATTAGAGCAGTGAGTGAGTGTTCAGGAAACGCTTTATTGCAATGTGCGGCCAGAGATAAACAGATAGAGATTGCACTGAATACCATTGGCACGCAAAAGTTTAATATACCGAGTATTCTAAGATGTAGTAAGGAGAAAAATACTTATACACCCATGATACTGATCCTGCGCTGTTCTCATCATGTCTAATTGCATTTGTAATTGTCTGTTTCCATCTGGTAACTCAGGATGTCCGTTCCACATGGATCAGTCCTTAACCTTTATTCTTAAATCTTAACACATCTTAGTTTTGGCAGCCTTGGCATAACTCGGCATCTAATTCCCCCTTTAGACAAATGACACACAGACACAACTATCCTTTCTTATTCTCATCTTTCACCCTTATTTATTTCATTACTAACCCCTAATTATGCCATATCCGTGTGTATATTTTACAAGAAAACAATTCACTATACCTCTCTACACTTCCTCCATAATACTCTCCCTTCATTACTTATGAGATTTTCACAATTTACCAAGTACTAATCAATGGTCAAACTTGACTCTTCCCTTTCTTTCATCCCTTACATTCAATCTCTCAATTGTTTTTACATGTCCATTTTAAAGAAAACAAGGTCCTAGACGGGGATCCGTCATTGATAATGTGGAATTAACATTTCTGTGTTCTCAATTTTGTCCAGTCTCTAAGTCATTCATTGGCTGGGGCAGGTTATCTGAACACTCTCAGCCAATAAATTTTTAGCAAAAAAAAAAAAAAAAAGAAGACAGACAAAATGTTTTGTCATTTTTTGATTGTGATCTTGTTAAGGATACACGTAGTTTAGAAAACAATATTGACTGAATTTTGCCGCTAGATTGCGAGCATGGTTAATGTTACATTAAAGGCACCAAAAAAAATAAAAAAACATTTAAAAACAAAAACCAAGTTGTGAGACTGCAGGGGCATGATCTATACACTAAAACTGCTTCATGAACCTAGTTGTTTTAATGCCTATATTATCACTTTAAAGAAACACTATAGGGTTAGGAACACAAACATGTATTCCTGACCCACTAGTGTTAAAACCACAATTTGGTGGCTTATCACCCATTAAAAAACTCACCATATTTCCAGCGCTGTGAAAGTCCACCGGTGCAGACCCCGCCACTGACCCGCCTCCTTGGTGGACATCAAAATTGATGATTTCAGACAATCCAATGCTTTCCCATAGGGAGTGTGGAGACGCTGAAAGGCAGTGCTGCACACTGAGCAGCACTGCCCCAGGAAGAACCTCCAGTGGCCATCTGAGGAGTGGCCACTTGAGGTATCCCTAGGGGGCAATATAAACACTGTAAACACTTTTTTCTAAAAAGACAGTGTTTTGTTCTGGTGAGTATAGACAGTCCCTGCAAGCATATTCATATATGCTTGCAGGGACTGACTATACTCACCAGAACAATTAGTTGTTCTGGTGACTATACTGTCCCTTTAAATTACGCATTCTTCTATAACATCTATTACAAAGTAATCCTAACTATCTGATATTCTCCACCTCAGATCAAATCTTCCTGCTACCCCATATCCATGGATTTCACTACACTGCAAATGTGAACGTTCTCACTCCCACTCACTGTTTTGAAACTGCTTCTCAAAACTAGGATGACTTTGAGCAAATGCATTTTTACAGTTTCCATCCATGATTTAGGTGTTCCCCAGTAGGGATACTGACAAAACTAGGACTGTAAGCCTTGACAACCAGTTTGGAAATCACTGACCTAAAAGACTAGTCTGCTGTACACCCTTATTTAAACCTTGACTTCCACCCAGAATAATTTAATTTGTAATGGCTGGACAAAATCAAAGGGTAAAGAATCCATCAAACAAAATGTGAGTAAAACTTTAAATAAAACTGCACTAGGCAGTTAAAATGATTGCTCACTTCTTTTCTTATAAAGTGCTGTGGTTTATCTATGGTTCACCTGCTAAATATGGATGGAACTGTGTCTTTAATAACTAACCCGGTCAAGTCCTGAATGTGTAAATTCAAGCTGCATTCTATAAACAGGAAACACCTTTAAACCCAGAAAAATACCAGCACATGACACTGAGGCACTTCTCTTCTTCGTTGCTGAGCACGGAAATTCTCTTTGCTTAATTGTATTCTCTACAAAGCTATGGGATGCTTGCCAAAGACATCCTTGCCCGGTTAGGATTTTCTTGATTTATTCTCTCCTTCTCAACCTGATCCCAAGTAGTGGATGCACACAGAGTGTTCTGGAGGTTATACACTCATGTGGCTCACTAAAATGTGGAAACTGTACGTGGGTCTACACTGTCATGCCAAACGTATCTTTCCCTAATCGCTTCCTCTTCTCTCCCTCTCTAGGGATCTTTTCTTTTTTTCATATCTGCTCTAATTTTATTTAAAATATAAGACAAAGTAGGGACTACTTTGTCTTATGCAATTTTCCTACGCTTGACCAACTTAAGTGGGTCAGAGAAATTTTACCACAATACTCACCCTTTCCTCCGTGATCTCACAATTTCGTCCTAACAGAATGAGAACAGTTTGGCCATTCATGTTAGGATGCAATTCGGGACTTTGTTTGGATTGGAATCTCATACAAATTTCATACAAATGAATGAAATTCTGATCCAATCTGAGCCGTGGCTGCATCTTGCACGGTATAAGGGAGCTATCTACCAAAAGGCTGAAAGGCCCCGATTGGTCTTTCAGCCAACTTTACTAATACTAAGTGAACATTACTTAGCATTAGTAATTAATAAGAAGATTAGTACAGACTAGTGAAAAACAAGCCCAATAACAATCCTATTATCCTTATTAAAGTACTAGTCCAACATTGGCATAAGAAAACCTTAAAGGACCACTATAGGAACCCAGATCACTTCAGTTCAATGAAGTGGTCTGGGTGCCAGGTCCATCTAGGGTTAACCCTGTCTGCTGTAAACATAGCAGTTTCAGAGAACTGCTATCCACTAGAGGTGACAGCCACTAGAGGTGCTTCCGCGCTTCTCACATCGCCCGCACCTGAAGGAACCCACGAGGGGACTAATAAGGTAAGTTTGTTGGATAAAATGTTGGAGTTGAAAATGGCTAGGAGATAGAACATCTCTCAAGTTTCTACCTCTACGTGCCGTGATGTTAATGTGGTTGTTTGAGGTGTATATCTTCAGTTAGAAGAGGCCAAAACTTTTGAATACCTTGTTTCAGCCAATCCCAGCCTGCATCATAAGATGTAATCATACATTGTGAATACGTAGATTGATCAGGAGGGTGACTACCAAGTAGAACACTTTTATAAGCCTCCAGAGCTCTTCTATAATCTTTTTTGATGCATTTGTTGGGGTAGGCCTTATCCTTAAATTGCTGCCTTAGGACCCTAGCTTTATTTTTGAAGTCCTCAATAGTGCTGCAATTTCTACGAACCCTGAAGTATTGGCCAGTGGGTATGCCATGCCTCAGGGGCCTAGGATGAAAGCTATTCCAGTATAGGAGGCTGTTGGTTTTTTGAAAAGGGTAGTTTGAACAGTTCCTTGACTTGTTATCGAGATTGTTATATCAAGAAAGTTCAAAGTTGAACCTCCGAATTCAGAAATGAATCTCAAGTTTAAATTGTTGATATGGAGAAGTGTTACAAACAGATTAAAATCCTCGAGCGTACCCTTCCACACAACCAGAATGGCATCTATATATCTGACCCAAAGGTGTATCATGGGGATATATGATGAACATTTGTCTGAATTAATGACTACCTCTTCCCACCAACCTAGGTGCAGGTTGGCATACAATGGGGCACAAGCTGTCCCCATCGCAGTGCCCCGCAGCTGGTGGTTGCATTTGTTGTGTAAGAGGAAATAGTTGTGTGAAAGGATAAACCCGAGGAGCTTCAAAATGAAGCTTGACTGTGATTGGTAGTCTGTCCCCCTTTTTTCGAGGTAGAATTGAACATGCTGGATGCCTCCTTCATGAGTTATTGAGGACTACTGTACCTCAATTAGTATGCAATTTTGCAACATAGTCTCAGGTTACGTTCACCTGCTATGTAGTCTATTTCCAAGCATTCTGACTATCTATATAGGATCCATCTGCTTGTCCAATTTTGTTTATTTTCTATTTTTTCACTTCATCACATTTTTCTTGCACTGGTTTTGTGTATGTGTTTTTGTATCATCCTTATATGGATTTCATAAGGTTGTGAATTATACATTTTTAAGGTTTTCTCATTCCAATGTTGGAATAGTAGGTAATAGGATTGGTATTGGGCTTGTTTTTCACTAGTCCGTACTAATCTTCTTATTGATTTCTATGCAGGGTTATGCCCTAATTACCCACAACCATTACGGACTCTGTGTTACTGGGGACAATATCCCCCCATTGTTTTTTAGGGCGCCCACCCGCCACTAATGGGTATGACAGGGGGGAGGACAAAAGGTCTCCCTCTTCATTGTCTTTTAGGGCACCCACCCGCCGCTCATGGCAGGGGTCTGGGGGGTGACAATAGGTCCCCCCTTATTGTAATTTAGGGCCCCCACCTGCCCCTCATGGGTGGGAGCCAGGGGCAGGACAAAAGGTCTCCCTCCCTCTTTTAGGGCCCCCACCCACCGCTCATGGCAGGGGGCCGGGGGGCACTAGGTCCCCCTTATTGACATTTAGGGCCCCCATCCACCGCTCATGGATGGGGGCTTTTTCGTCTGAAATTTCTATTAATTCATTTGTCTCTCTGCTGAATGAATTGACGAAATTCCTGTCCGAATTTCGGGCAATAGCAAATGCCCCAGTGTTTAATTAGGTATGCGCAGGAATTTTACAGCGCTATCTAGTGTGGGCAGATTACGTGTCCGACAGGGCCTTCATCTGCCCACACAAAGATGGCAGACCCTAGGACTCCGGTCCGGGCACAAAATAAAGATAAAAATATAAGGGTGCTTAGAGGCATTTGGAGCTGACTAGGGAACTTCGTTGTAGTGGAGTTAGGAAGGGTTTAAAAAAAAAAATTTTTTTAAATCATTGAGTCATTTCTCAATATTTTTACATTCAAGCTACAAAGTATACCAGTCACATATAATTCTGGTATTTCATATGATTTGATACGGATTGCTAATAGTATTCTTAAAAAAGGGCAACACAATGTTCTAAAGTAATATCCATCTGTGCCAACTGATGTCAGTTTCGCAATTTGCATATATGCTGCCCTGGCTTTGACTTGATTAACTGACCAAATCATAGTTTTGCAGAATATGCTACAGAGGAAGAGACTGGGACACACTGACAATTACCCAGTCCACGTGTATAAGAAACATATGAAGAAAGAATATTAAATAGGAATTAAAGTCAGGCATGCAATTTGCAGGTTAGCAGAATCCGTTACTCACCTGAAGGCCACAGCATCCAACTGCACTTAATATAGAGGCATTGTGAATGACACGATATTGTATTCCAGCCTTTGTGGCTCGCAAAACCAAGTCACTGTGTGTTGTAGCCCTGCATGGGTGATGGGCATGTTAGAATAATGGACCGAAGATGCACAATTCCAATATGTGTATGTGCGCACGCATGCACCTTTTTCTTGAACTAATTTGCAAATGCACACCCAGAATCCCTTGCAGTAGTAACATCACGGCAAATTTGAGAATTTGTATTGAAAAAGTTAAAATATAACATTTTAACACATATACACACACTGGTATGGCCAAACAAACACCCCTACTAATTAAAAAGATTATTTGTCTAACTCTAAACCATTAAAATGTGGTTTTCCAAGGTAATAATAGGCTAAACTGTTCCAAACCTAAAACCCAAAAAAATCTAGTGAATGACTGCTTCTTATTCAGCCTTAAACAGTCTACCAGCATACATAAAATTATACGAATTACATATAAAATATATATTAAAAAAACCCCAAAACAACAGATTTGTTTTAAAAAAACATCAGTATTAAGATGAATTATCTCCACTGTATATAACAAAATTTAGAATCATTTACAAGGCGATTCCTCACGCTGGGATGGGAAACAAAGAGACCTGCTTTAAGCAGGATAGAGGTATAATTATATGCAGGCTTACACAGCTGGGCATTCAGTTCAGACTGTCCCATGTGCACAGACATTCATTTATTAAAGCAGAAATCATCTCATTAAGATAAAATTGAGATAACCCTCCTCGTAAAATAACTGTGCATGTAAGCAGGACGTTGAACTGAGTAAAAACCAGAGTATGGGTATTAATAATAATGTACATTGCTTAATGATACCTTTAAAATACATCAATAATGTATGATAATGAAGAATATCAAATCAACATGCGTGATAATCACCGTGTCCATCAAGCCTATGCATTTATAAAATGGATGTCCACTGGCAATTTAAATCTACTAACTCCTAATAAATATCCTGTGCTAAACATAGGACCGAGCATAACATGTGAAGATATCAGGAATGTATATGTTGTACACAGAACCACTCATTTTAAATGATTGGGACATATGCAACAATGGTACTTAGGATTAACTGGTACTGAATATGGTGCAATCTGTAATGGTGATGTGTAACTGCACACTGATTTTAATAATGATGTATCTCGGTGTATGGAATAATCTAACAATCTTTGAGAAGCTTGTCCGGTGTATCCACTGTGGATAGGCTCTATAATGCAATACTACTTGTATCCACGTGGTGGCAGCTCAACTGACTGCAGATCATCTGACATCTAAGGGAAACTATACATATTTAAGATGGGATTGGAAGAAAAACATTTCACTTACTGAGATACAACTCTCCAGGTCTTTTACAACTCTGTGTACCAAAGCCTGGGTGTCCAACTCTGCATATCCCCTACAAGCTAAATAATTCAAGGAGCTGTAGTTCAATGACACAACTCTTCAGTCAATACACTGTATCGTACACACTGAACTGGAGAAGTATCTCAATAGAGTGGACCTGTGCTGATCATATTTTACAGGCTAAATTAATTTAAGGAAGTGTTATATTTTTGGCTACATCATCACCTAGAGATAATAAAAAGCTAACAAGTTTAAAATTGCAAATTTCTATTCTAAAAATAAAAATAACTTAAAACCAGTGGTGATTATCCACTAAACATTGAATTGTAAAGAATATTTAAAAACTAGGCCAAAATAACTGATTTGGAGAAAAAAAAAAACATTGCCAAATAGGCTACAGACGTTGTTCAGTTATTATAGCCTTAATAGGGCAATTCTCTAAAACTTGGAGTTTATCGAATAAGCCGTATAAATATGTTACAGATTTAAACTTCTATATAAAAGGACAATCACACTACCTAGCTTAATGTTGGTCAGATATTATTAAAAAGATTTATTCAACCAAAAATCTACTTTATTAAGAACCAGACAAGCCTCGGTAGCACTATCCCGATGATTTTAGCACTATGCTAAAATAATGAGAGATCCATACTGGAAACAGTGGGTTATACCTTACAGATAGAGGGGTATCCTGGAGCTATAGTACACAGAAACTACAGACTTGTATTCACTCTAAACGCAACATGCAGAAGCTAATTAGGCTTCTTAATGTGCATCTGCCACTAAGATACCTAGAGAGGTCATGCAGACAGACGCAGGTTCCCCATGATGTATAAGGGCTTTAAGCAGATGTGGCTCTAGCAGGGGCAGTTGTGCAAATGAAAAAGATGCAAAGAGACGCATCCTTCAGCAACACTGAGGACAAAGGAGAACTCTAGGGACAGAGAATATAAATGAGATTATTTACAGACTGATTGGTAATGAGGTGTTAAGATTGCCCCAGACATCCCAAGAGATGGAATCAATGAATCCCCACGATTCCTGATGCTACTATGCAAATAGATTGATCCCATTTATGCCTAAATTCAATGATGCCTGGATTATATTAACAATAAGGCGAACTGTGGGTCATCTGATAACTGTATAATACCCCAAACCTTCAACCTCCCTGATGTACTAGGTGGCTCAGTAACTGTGCAGCTTTACATGTACAAAATGTATTTGTATAACTAGTTTGCAGTCTGCCTATACATGTTGCAATGTATTATGCTATTGCATCTCCTATAATATTTTGTATGAAAGACGAAATGTAATGACTTTAACTAAAAAAATTATAAAAAAAAAAAAAAAAAAAAAAACCCCAGCAATTTTAGAATACAGCCACTAATTGATTGGGGAAACAATTCTGTTAAAAAAAAACAATAGAAAACCAAAAATCTATTTTCTGTTCAGGTTTTTTTGTTTGTTTTTTGCAGCTTCACTGATTCCAAATTACACTGTGTAGGGGTCGCTATGCAATATGCCGTAGTAAGAGAGTTACAAGTAAGGGCATATCGGTTTGAATCCCCCCACATGCAAGAATTATAGCTAGTTATGATGCTTAGAATATCCCTATAATGGACTGTGGGCTCTACTTGCCCAAAGGTAATGCTTACCCAAAGGGGTCGCCCACCACTAGAAATGCTACATCACTCTCTTTAGAATCTCGAAGGATCTCATCTGCTTCTTGTTCAACAGTTTCACGGTCAGCGAGGATTAGCTCCCGGCCATAAAACTCCTCCTGTAAATGAAATGAAAAAGAATTAATGCATCATGAAATGAAAACTCTACAGCCCTTTGTTATTATCAACCACAGAATGTCAAAACAGTCATCAAACACCAATTCAAGACACATTTACTGCCATAAAAGAGACCAAGCAGTGTCATCTAGTGTAAGCAACCACCTTGAAGACAAGACTGACAACCAAATAGAGGACATCAAGCCAGAGGGGATCATCAGTACAATATCCATACTTGTCCATCACACCAACCATGAATATTGACTCATACTCGTGATCACTGTCAAGTCTAAGATATGAAAAAACTGGTGAGTATAAGTGCTCAATATCTATAATTAGCAGCAAATCACCAACAAAGGGTTCGTTCCACCCTTGTGAAGTGGATAGTAAAGATAACAGACAGGAGGTGATAATCAGGACTTAAGATTATATATACATACGATACAGATGATATTCTTATTATATGAATCTATAAGTACAAAGCAAGAAAAATATTATGGTGCAGTACAGCAGATGTTTGTGAAGGGAATACAAATGGGTATAAGTGCAAACTCACACTTTTTACAGCTGTCTCGGCGGGTCTTTGGAGCTTGTTTTCAGGATAGAGTAGGTATATGTGAAAAAAAGACAAAATAGGAAATCCAATGGTATAGTATCTACAAACAATTGGTATTGATGGAGGAAAATATCCTACTTACGTCACCCAGAGCAATGTCCTGCTCTGGTATGAAGAACTGAGGTGGAACAATCCCCACCTAGGGATATATGCTGGAACCCCTATGCCTAACCCTAAACCTTACACATCTAGGGTTGGGGTTAGATTCCTGTCATTATTAACGTAATTTTCCCTACCTCTCTTGTTTTGCCACTTTTCAGAAATCCGAAGCACTTCGGTTCGCCACTTCCGAAATTCGGCAGTTGGGAATTTTCGACAATTCGGAAGCATCCGAATTTACATTCGGAACAAAACGAATTGCACATGTCTACTCTACGTAAAGTTTGCTCACTGTTAATTGGATATGCCATCACTCACGGCATGGCCGGTGGAGGCATCAGGGAGGTTAAAAATGGTTGTCTGGGCAAAAAGTTGTGATTTTTTAAACATGGGTCAGACTAAAATGTGGTCAAGCTAAATAGTATCCTATTTTCTGCAGCTCTGACCAAACGGTTTACAATCTGCCTACCTGAAAGGCAGGTATGGACTGTTGCTGGACAGTATTCTTTGTAACATGCACTGATCATGTTATTTTGTAGTTTACTAATGGAAAACACAAGTTGCTAGGCTCGAGGCCTACCATGCAATAAGTAGTCTAAAACGCAGTATACAAAAGTCGTTGTGGTGCAATCCTATTGAGATGCATACATGGGCCAATTTTAAGGTTTTGAGGACCAGCCTGAAATATGATGTGGCCCCAGCCTACGGGGCAATGTACATGTCAAATGGATCTTTCTACCTTTAACAGGCCTGGCAGTCACCCCCACTTCTGGTTAAGTGCGTTATCCCAATCCATGTAAATAAACTCAGCTATGCATGCTACCCCCCCCCACCGCCTACCTGATATTTGTCTTGGCAACAGCCTGTGGCCCTTCATTGTCAACAACCTGACCCATGCGAGAAGTGCTGTGATTCTTCCTTTTCCAGTGTCCATTTGTGGCTGCCACCTTTATGGTTTTAATGCATATTAGGCCTTGGTCAGATGGCCACAGCCCAGGACTATGGGTGTCCTCCCCTGGGCCTATTAGGAATTTTACTATTATAAATGCCCAGATTTGGTTACATTCCTGTAAATTATCTTAAAGTCTGATTTGCATTCTACATAAAAGTGTTATTTCATAATAATTAAAATATATCCAAAATGTATTTATATACACCCACCAAGGAATAATATATGATCAAGTTATACTATACATAACTATTTTCCTTTATAGTTCATATGTCCCCGCACCCTGGACACTGGCCATGTGTGCAGAAACGTTGGGTTGTTTCTCTGTCCTCTTTTTGACTGACAAAGTTAAATATATTGTACAGCAATTTGTGATTTATTTTTTTTAAACATTTGTACAGTGGATGAATTTACTTTTCATTATTTGTTTTGTTATATTGATGAACTACATTAGAAAATTGTTATGTATAGTATAACTTGATCATATATTAAAGGGACACTGTAGGAACTCAGACCACTTCAGCTCATTGAAGTAGTGTGGGTGTTGTGACCCTTTTGAACTTAGTGCTGCAATGTACAACATTGCAATTCCAGAGAACTGCAATGTTTACAATGCAGCACTAAGTCTGCCTCCAGTGGGCGCTTCCGGAATCCAAACGGACTTTTGGTCCGTTATCTGATGCTGAACCTCCTCATGGACCGCTAGCGTCAGATTTTCCCCAATGGAAAGCATTGAATAATGCTTTCCTATCAGGAGGTCTAATGCACATTAGGACTGGCCCGTTGGCTGACGGCGGAGCCTGACCCAGCACCGAGGGACATTGGCGCTGGATTTAGATAAGTGGCTTATGGGGTTTTAACCCCTTCAGCCCCACGGGAGGGACACACACATACCTATTAACCCTATCGTGCCAGGAAAACGACTTTGTTTTCCTGGCACTATAGGATCCCTTTAACTATTGGAATATTATTTCCTTGGTGGGTGTATATAGATTAATTTGGATATATTTTAATTGTTATTATAAAATAAAGTCTGATTTGCATTGTACCTAGGAGTGTGAGTATTTCTTTGATATATGATTTCTATTTAGCCATTTGAGGAAATGGTGAATATACTCTTTGCATTCTGACAGTAGTTGCATTCTGTACCTTGATTGGTTACCCCTACATGCCTTAATTTAACCATTGCCTAGTATTTGGCAGAAGTATGTTTAACAAGAAGATTTCTTTGTCACCCAAGTACATGCAGCATACACATACCTGCTGATTTATTAGAAGTCTACTTACTATTTTTCACTTGGCATTGTACTTCTTGTGCCCAACATGATATACACTTGATTTACTGTATGCTTACCAATAACCCCTTTTTATGATCGCTATGCATTTGCCACAATCCAATGCATACCATATGTGTGAGGCTAGCTCTGACTTTTCTGTGTGTCACTAAGTTTTTGCCTTCACTCATATTGCATTAGCCTCTTTCTCCTTTTTTACAAAATGTGAATTTTTGGTACATCTTTTGCATTACTTTGTCCTGAGAGGGAGCATCTGCTGCTCTTCTATGCTTTTCCATAGATCACTCTTTAGAATGCCGATAATGTTAGCACTGACAAGCCCGAAAGGATTGTTTCTTTTTGGTACTTCAAACAAATTGTATGTAGCGCTCAGTGTGCACATTTGACATCAAGTTGTGCTGCATTCATTTCTGTTTTTACTTATATTTGACCTTGCCTTGACCAACAGGGAGCAATGTCAGCAGCACAGAGGTAACAGGTTATTTAATTTAGATTTTTGGGTAATTCAGTTTTCCTCTATCGCTATTTGGCCACATTGTTGGTTTACTGCTGCTGTTAGCTTTGTTTCATGATGTATGAACAAACTACTACAGCGCTCTGTTTCCTGAGCTCATTGTGCTCTGTTGTGTACCTCTTATTTGACATTTCACCAAAATAAAACCTAAACACAAAGTCTGGATTTTTCTGCCCAAATGGCCCATTAAACCTGATCAATATGTATAGCATAGCAGGCTGATTCATACTACCAAGAACTGGTACAGTTATCATACTATACAGTAACATAACGTGATAATTGGAATAGTATGTACATGTCTGTATGACAGAATAAAAAGACTATAAACATACACACAAGTGAAAACTGGTACTTTAAAAAAAATAAAAAATATATATATATTAGCAAAAGAAAAACATATTGATTATTCACTATTATCATGGAAGGCAGGGGAAAAATAAGATAAATATGATAAATATGTTCAGTGTTTACAAGATACTTACCTACTGATACAAAATTAAAGAAAACTGTTCTATTATGCCATTCCCTTGGTTATATTTGTTCAGAAGACAGAAGGGGGACCATTCAAGTTCAGATTTTTCTCTACAGCTCCATTTTTTTTTCTTACAGAGTAGCTGGTCCTGGTTATGTGCTATAACAGTGATTTCGAGTGGGCATGGTGCCTGGAATCTGGATGTGCAGGAACTCAACATTTAAAGGGTCACTCCAGATGCCTAAAAAAACTTTAGATTGCTGAAAAACTGTGTGAGTGAAGAGTGTGTCCCTTTTTTTCATTTTGCAAAAAGTGCAGATTTCAAAAGAAATGGACACTTTTATAAATTAACCCAGTTAAACCCCCTTGGCTTTCAAGCAACTGACCTTAAAGGGACACTATAGTCACCTGAACAACTTTAGCTTAATGAAGCAGTTTTGGTGTATAGAACATGCCCCTGTAGCCTCACTGCTCAATCCTCTGCCATTTAGGAGTTAAATCCCTTTGTTTATGAACCCTAGTCACACCTCCCTGCATGTGACTTGCACAGCCTTCCATAAACACTTCCTGCAAAGAGAGCCCTATTTAGGCTTTATTATTGCAAGTTCTGTTTAATTAAGATTTTCTTATAACCCAGCTATGTTAATAGCTTGCTAGACCCTGCAAGAGCCTCCTGTATGTGATTAAAGTTCAATTTAGAGATTGAGATACAATTATTTAAGGTAAATTACATCTGTATGAAAGTGAAACCAGTTTTTTTTTTCATGCAGGCTCTGTCAATCATAGCCAGGGGAGGTGTGACTAGGGCTGCATAAACAGAAACAAAGTGATTTAACTCCTAAATCACAGTGAATTGAGCAGTGAAATTGCAGGGGAATGATCTATACACTAAAACTGCTTTATTTAGCTAAAGTAATTTAGGTGACTATAGTGTTCCTTTAAGAGGCAGCAATTACCCAGAGCACCTGCCTTGCAAATACTTCTCATTGAGCTGGATTGAGAAGTCTGTGATTGGCCAGCCACAGAGAGTCTGGGAGGGGTTGGAAGGGAAGAGCTTGCAAATGCAGCAGACAAGAGACCTTCAGGTTTTTCCTGCTGATTTTAGTTATCTTCCCAATAAAAAATGCATGATTTAAGGCACGCAAGTTTTCACCTAGAATATATCTACTAAGCAGTGATTTTTATCTTTTTTGCATTTGGGCACTGGAGTGTCCCTTTAACTCTGCACATGCAAAAATTAAACACTTATGCTGCCAGAGGTGTGACTCCACCTCTGGCCATATTGGGGCATTATTAGCAAGCCAGGGGACTGAGGTGGTTACAGTGCTTGAAGTGTTCCTTTAATTAGGTTTGCCAATACCACCATGTTTTCCTAATTCAATGTGATATTAAATAAAAGGTGATGCCTTACAATGTGAAATTCTTAATCTGCTGGAGGGAAAGCAGTTAAACACTCCAGGCACCATAATGACTACTCACTGTAGTTGTTATGGTGTCAGAGCACCCGGTGCCCCACTTTCTAAGGAGTTAAACCATTTTTCTACACACAGTAATAGTGGTTATGGTTAGGGGCATAACTAGGAAAAAATGGGCCCGAGTGCAAGATTTAAAGAAAGGCCCTCTAGTGGTTGTCCCTCCTCACTAAGCATAAATTGATTGCTTTCAGGCAATGAAGGGCTTAGTACAAGCTAGCTAAAGGAAGTTCCTGTATAGTAATTCCCATCTCTCCAGTGTTAGTAGTGGAGGCCGGTAACAGACTACTTACTATGGGGACACACAAGAGCATTCCTGGAACCATGACGACAAGCTGTAGTCGTCATAGTGCTTTGAGTTTTCCTTTAGTTACCCAATTGAAGTTGCCCTATCCCTATGTTGAAATTCTGCTTGGGGTGTAGTGAAGGTAAGTAATGCTTAACTGAAGCGGTCTCTCGCAGGCACCGTCTGTCTTTAGCTCCTGGCACTTCATCTACGAGGAGCCGCGAACATACAACAGTGATGTCTCTGGAGGATCCTGTAAGACTGCATAGACTAAATATTTCAATCTTCAAGGATCAGCTTGATTTCTGCAGCCATTGCTGGAGGAGGAGTATTAGTTGCTATTTTGTCTGCTTTGGAATTTTCAATGGATTTTATAAAGATTCTACCTTTAATAAATGAAACTCAATTTTGTTTTGTGAAATGACAAAGCTGCAGTTTATTACTTATCATGTACCACACACTGTGACCTAGGGGACACAAAAAGGCTACTCCATAGAAAAGCAATCCCAAAATGAAATCAATAAGGGGGTCTAGGGCCAATCAGCATGCAAATAGCAATGCAGGGATAGAGAGCAATACCCCCTCATCCCCACACCAGGACTTACAGAATCTCCCCCCTCTGGATGCAATATGTGGAAATGCCCCTTTCCATGCTCTGTCCTACATGTGCTCAAGTTAGCATTGATCTTCAGTGGGACCATTTTGATGGAGACCAGGAAGAGCTTGATTCTCAATTAAATCCACAAAGCAAGATGCGGCTTGAGCTCTTCCTGGAAGCCAGCCACAGCATACAGTTCTCTGTTGGCCCCCAGCACTCCCTACCTGGGACTCTATGTACAGTGCTATAAAGATGTCAACCAGTTGCAGCCACGCACAGCGGAAAGCTTTAGCAGTGGTCATAATCATGTTAGGGCAGGATGTATGGAGGATTCTGCATGAGCCTGAGAGTCCGACTATTCAGTCCACCACCCTGAAGTTATTTAATTTATTGCCAAAATACAATAGAACAGTTCTGTGATGGGAGTCTGCAGCCTGGCATGAGATTTATTGCCCATATACAAATTAACACTTTTGCGATGCTAGTCCTCCTTCACTCTGGGAGGCGTAACTAAAGGACCAGGTCACAATACCAACCCTGGTAGTTCACCGCTGGTTATGGTGCCATAGGTCGTTGGGTGCTACTTCAAGCCTCATTTTCTGTCAAAACATTTTGGTGCAGTTTGACAAAAAACTAAATAAAATACAGGATTCTATATAACACGCCTCTCTACAAGCTGCCAGTGCTTTCATCAAACAGTTGGCTAGGCGAGTCCTGTTTTTGTTGCAAGAGAACTATTTGACAGAAAACTGCTGAAGAAACCCACAGATGTATAGCACCATAAACACTACAATAAGTTGCTGTGGTTAGCGTGTCAATTTGATTTCACTCCTGCAGCATTTGAATTCTACATACTGTACTTTTTATTTGCTGAATATTAGCCTGTACATAGAATGTGTGTCCAGAGAATCAAAGAACCCTAGATCCAACAGGGACCTACTACTATTGACAATAGCATGTGGAACCAATTTTGGGTTCCGACCCAGAGGTAAAGAACCTTTACTTATATAAACTAAAAGATAAGACGGACAGACAGAAAATGTCATACCAGAGCTTCCTTTCCAACAGACAGTATAGATGTGTATGCTTCCAGATACACACGGGAACAGCTCCTGATCACCTCCAGGCCTCTCACAGTCACATCCTTGGCATCGCCCAACCCTAACCCGACCAAGTAGAGCATCTTGTCCCAGAGAAAAAAATATAATCCAATTTATTATGAATAATTCTTATAACAATTTGAAACACTGTGTTACAGTGTATGTCCTGCACTTATGCCAAACTTCATATATGAATATTTATTCTAAATATTGTTAATTTTATACTTGGATTGCAAGTATGTGGAGCATTTAGTATATTATGTATAAAGACCTACACATGGTGCAAATATCATATTGCCATTTAGGGAGTTAAATTATTGTCAGTCAAGCAGCAAAAGAAGGTATGGGGAGTGCTTAATAATGATTAATAAGTCATTGTTAAATAGAATGATGCATCATACATCAATTAATCAATGGAATCTAAAAATAAATAAATATAAATTACTTTTTATCAAGAGCTATAAATATGTTATGGTCATTGAAACCTCTAATAATAATAATAGTGTGTCTAAGATGTGAAATGGTCTCTTCAAATTATAAATAGTTTCTCTTTGGCTTGCATTCCTCGTTAATAATCTCACGATTCAAACACCCTCACAACCCCACGCTGACAGCTCCAGTACAACCTCGCAATACGGCTGTGGTAAAAAAAAAAAAAAAAAAAAAAAAGACAACCTTTGACCATTGGAACGCACGGCGGCCATCTTAACTATTGGCAACCCATTCATCTGCGGCATTTGCGGAGAAGAGACGAAACCGCGATTTGAACAGGTATTACAAGCGGCGGCCATGTTAACTCTGGGCATAGTTTACTTCTTGTGAGCTCTCTTTCCCGTTCATGGGGGTCTTTCTTTCTTTCTTTGCGATTTAAGTTAAATGGGTCGGAAGGTAATGATCAATAGTTTTGTAAGTTTTGCATCTTTAATAAAATAAATAAATATTTGACATACCTTTTATATTATAGTTTTCTTGAGAAGAGAACATGGATAAAGCAAAATTTCCTACTGTGACCCTGGCAAGTGGGCAGCACATCCCCATTCTGGGCTTGGGTGAGTTACTTTTTATATTTATTATATATACTCCCAGGAGTCCCTTATTAGGACAGATAGCTCCTTTTATGTGCTTAAATCAATCCCAGTGTTCCTCTTTCCTATCCTTATGACTCTCTTTTCTTGGAAATTAATATTTTCATGTGAATGTGTATGGATAACGGTTGATGACAATAAAACTCACAATATTTTGTACTGAACAAGACCACGTAAGTCCACAACCCCTATACCCTGCTGTAGTGGTTATGGCGCCAGTGTGCCTCTTGTGTTGTTCCCCTGTAAAACAGGGTTATAAACTAAACTCTGTATTTTCACAAACTGAATCCAGGTAGAAAAACAGATGCAAAAATAGCCGATCTGGAAAAATTATCCAGTTTTTCTTTCTGTTTTTCTTTCCGTTTTTCTATTCCGATTTGGTGCCTCCAGTCCGGACTCTTACTTGTCAGTTTGTTTTGTGTATGTTGCATTTTCATAATAACAATTCTCGCTATATTTGGATGTTATTCTTGAGAAGTTTGGTTTTCCTCATTAACAGCTCTGAGGGGCAGGAATATGGCTCCAATGACTTTCACACAGCTGAGAGTTGGCACAAGGTGTTTTGTTCACCACCAACTTTCCAGTAATGCAGAGTTGTAATGGTACTTAGAGTAATTAAATACAGCTTTCTATAGTGGTAATATTGTCTGGAGTGCTGTGGTGCCATCCTTTGCGTTAATATCAAACTATTTATGAAGTGTTTGACTCTTCTCAGGTTACTCTTATCAATCAGTGTGTCAATTTCTTACCTAGATGGCGGTAATTAGTTGAGAGTGCCAATCAAAACACTGGTTTTCTGTGTGTCGTGGCTGAATATTGACATTAAAGAGTAACTTTCAATTCTAGAGTGACAGATCCTTGTTTCTTCACTAAAGTAAATTCTATTGCAGTGTTTATTGCGATAAATAACGCACTTCCATGTTGCTATAACTTCACCTCTGCATGATGCCTAACAGAGAAATTCTGTACACTCACATGCGCTCCCAGCATTATCTCCAAAATTGCTGAATATGTGCATGCGCTTGTGTACAGCACAGCAGGAGTTAACTAATTTACACACTTTGCATATAAATTAAAGGGTAACTCCAAGCACCATGGCCACTAAAGTGATTAGAAGAGGTGATGGTTCCTGGAGCATGTATGTGCTGTATTTTGCTAGGTAACATATAGTGAATATGTTACTTAGAGAACCCACACAGTGTAGCTAAATGTTATTATTTTTTCTTGATACAGATGAATTAGGGAACATTTGCTTTGAAATTATATGTGCCCAATTCCCCCAATGAGCATTTTATATAAATGTAGGTGTTCTCAGCAGTACCACTAAGAATTGCATGTTCTGGGCAGAGCCAGACTATCCATTAGGCGGCCAAGTAGGTAGGGCCCTCTCTTGGCTTGGAACTCTGGCTTTCAGATGCCTGTCCATGAGCTGGAAGGGAGATCAAAAGATCTACTGGCATGGTCCTGTGCCTCCTCATTTCACAGAGGGAGTGCTGTGGTCTGTTCCAGTGTCAGGTAAAAAACATTTTAAGAGTGCCCTTGCAGTCCCTCTGCATTTCTTAATCATTCAGAGTGCCACAGCCGGTGCTCTCAGTTATTGACTGAGCGCCAGAACTGTAAAAGTGCTCTTAAAGTGGTCTGTACGTGATATTGTTGCAGATGATGGAGCTCCCCCACTGCACCCTCCAGGATCCTGCTCACACTCCACTGGCCCATCAGGGTATGTATGCAGAAGACAGGGGGGACATACAACACACATACAACACTCAGCCTACCCTGCATACAAATCATCCACGACACACAAAAAAACACTACACACTGACACACTCCGCCTCGTCCACCACACACCACTTACAATGCAGCACTCACAGAAACTAGGATGGGGCCCCAGTCTTGCAACCTGCCGAGGGCCCTGGGCAGTCATAATCTGCTTCTTTGTTTGCCCCTCAATTCCTATTATATTCCGATGTATACGGCTACAATCTTTACTTATATGCACGTATATATTTTTATACATTAATATGTGACCTGCACACAGGAAGTTGGGCCGTTCTGTTATTCCAAATATAATTTCCTTGAACAGGGCATAACTTTGTAGCAACTTAACTCAAGTTTAACTTGTTGCAAGCGCCTGACTTTACAGCATCCGTAATAAACTCAATTTAGTTGTCTCAGCCAATCATCATATCTTTCCAAGGAGTTTAGATATCCCATAGGGTTCAATACAATGTACCTAATAGAGTGCTGTATATACATTCAAACTTTCCCATAAGAAAACATTGAATTAATTCTTTCCTATGTAGCTTCCACGTCATGTGACCGAGTTTTACTCAGTCTGTTTAACAGAAGCGTCTCTAGTGGTGCACCAACATAAGTAAGCCACTAGAGGTGGAGATAATCCTGTAATGTAGACATTGCAGTTTCTCAAAAACTGCAGTGTTTTACATTGTTGGTTAAATAGAGGACAGGGGCACAGCACACAGACCATTTCATTGAGATGAAGTGGTCTAGGTGACTATAGTGTACCATTAATAAGTGTAGAAATGTGAGTCCATTTAATGACTTGTCTCCCCAAAAAGAAGACACCACATAAAACCCACCTAAAACAGCAGGACAGGGGCCAAAAGTATGACTGTGCCTTTCAATTGACAACTGTTGAGATGTTTAAAGTAGCCTGTCATGGGAGTTAGGTATTTTTCTAGCAGTCGCGCAAATATTTGGATGGTCTTAAGTGGAAGTACTGCATCAACCTATGACATTTGTCAATGAGATGGATTTGAAGCTGCAAAAACATTTTGCATATGTAACCTTAATTTTGCTGCTAAACCTGATACGCATGTAGAGCTTCCACATCTACTTCTGCTCAACAAAAAATCTTGTAACAGGAAACACTTATTTTGATGTTGGCACTGTGCATCCTGACATTTGATTTAATCTCTTTTGATGACATAAGTAATTGTTTGAGTCATTTTAGTTAATGTGTTTTAAAGGGGCAGGATGGATTTTTTTTTTTTTTATGTAGCAAATCAGTTGTGCAGAAAGGCTAAAATGTGCAGGCGTTTCTAACTGCTTTTTTTTTTTTTGTAATATCCAAAATTTTTCCGGAAATGAAAAAATTGACTTTATTTTCTGTATTACTTAATTTACGCAGTTCCAAAGACGCAAGTCCCTTTTAATCATAGATCAGGAAATTCTGTAGACATAGTGGCGTGAGGAGATTTTCTGCTTTTCCTTTGACATGTCATGATTTTAACAGCTTCAAAGAGTAGAATCCATCCTGTAAGGAAACATTTTAGCACTGAGATGTCCTCACGCACCCTTCTTCCTTGTTGTAAGCCTTTGAAGCCTGTGAGTAAGCTCTGCAGAGACATTGTGCCAACAGCCTAGACATCTCTGAGTCTCAATAATATCCTAATACTCTGTGTGCCACAGGTCCTGCTGACGTGTTTAATAATGTTTGACTTACAGTAAAGGATACTTTATAACAATATGTCAATTTTTTGAGTTACTCTCTGGCATGATTGTTGACTTTATAAATTTCCCTTAACGCTGTAAGCATTTTATTTCCATTTACTCACTTATACAAGATCACTGCTAGATAAGGAAGTCACCCTGTTCCATTAAGTAATCTTGACCAGCAGTGGTCAGTGTGGTGTGTTTACTTGCTATAATTTATTATTATTTTCATATCCATATTTTCTTCCCAACTGAAGCCAGTATCTTTTTTTATGACATCTAAGGCTGAATAATAATGCTGGAACATGTATATGGCTTTCAGAGCCTATCTACAGTTCTACAACTGAGAAGCAAAAGTTGGAAACTGTTCATATTTCTACTCTTTCTCCTTTTCCAAACCAAACATTTATAACTTTATAACTGGTGCTTGTGTCAAACCAAAATAATGAATTGACTGCCATTGTAGTCAGAGTAGCATTTGGAACTCGCAAGAGTACAAACATACAGAATGATTGACGTTGAGGATGAGCTGATCCATTTATTTGCTATGCATGACTCGGCACAGTAATTTTTCAAACCAAAACAAAACGTTATATAATTCATCAAAGGAGGATGTACAAACTATGGTGAGACGCAAACCCTGTAACATAAACCTGTTTCGGGGTGCTGAATAGGGTTTCGATTGAGCAGGGCTTTCATTCCATCTTTTGTAATGCAGTTATATATATGTCTTATTTATCCCTTGTGCACAACTGTTTTTTTTCCTTATAAGTCATAGTTCTATGGCTTTTCTTATAACAGATTAATTAATGTCAGTTTACCCAATGGGATCAAGAGTGATGACATAGAATGCCTCTTTACGGGAACTAAATGGTAATGTGACTCTGCAGGAAATAATGCAAAGAATTCTGACTGAAAAAAAGACCGAATTAATGCAGTCATCAGCAATTTTGGAATTGAATCATTTGATGAAGGAAACAGTCTTTCATCTTCGGTTTAATTCCAGCATTTTGGGAAATTCTGTAATGAGACTGATTGAAAGTTTGCCAAATCTAAATATAAATCATCTCATATTCAGGCGATGTACCCCTGCTCAATAGTACTTCTTCTTTTCCGTATAGATTTTCAGTTATATTATTTGGTTTGGCTTTAAAAGATTTATTTCAAGGGTTTTCTTTCATGCTTCATAAAATATTATTTACCATGTATTATAATCAGTAGTCTATATTGTGTCTTTGTGTGATCGACTATTGAAACAAAAATGTGAGTTAGTGTCTAGTGAATTCTCTTGTATGTTATTCATCTGTTTGACATCTCAGGCAAATTCCACTAAGGTTTTAAGGGACCGGCAGGTAAAATCCTGTGTGCCTTTGTGCAAAAATATTTTCCTTGAAGGACTCTGCTCATGTAAATTATCATACTGTTTCTTAGCAGGTAGGTTTCCGTCGAGTTCATTCTCAGTTAGATTCTCCAATAAGTATCTATTTAGCCAGATTTGTATCTGGGCCTCAGTGTAGACACGTGTAAATCCCTGTGCAGATACATTACTTTTCAGTTCTCTAAGCAGGTAGATGACTATATGAGTGTCTTGGAAGGTAGGTTCCTCTTTTGTATATCTAAGCAAGTAACTTACTTATGTTGGTATATCAGAACAGGTAGGTTTCACTTTTGAGTGTCTGAGTAGGTAAATTCTCATGTCGTATGCTCTACAGGAGCATTGTAAGACACAATCTTACAATGGTAATTTGAAAACTAGTTATGTGTCTATGACTGAGAACCAGTCTTATGAAATTTTTTTTTTTACCTAATTCATTCATTATAGTATCTGTCACCACACAATATATGTGCGAATACTTATGCAGAACGTCTTCCCTGCATCATTATTGACGCAACTTGGAGCACCCATACTGGTTCTAATGATCAGCTGTGTCTTTCTTTTGTCAATGGCTACTTTAAGCCTGCTCCATATTTCTTGTGTAACTCTTGGCATATGAGAATGAAGCAAACCAGTAGATATTTACTTTTGGGTATTTAAACCCACTCCGCTTCTAGCTGGCTGTCCTGTTCTGGTTCCTGCTGACCCAATAGTGCATTCCTAAAATTTTCTGATTTTGTGGTTTCACCTTGGCTTGTTTTCCGTTTTTCTGGATATTCGTGCTCCCAACCTTTGGCATCTCTACAGGGAGTGCAGAATTATTAGGCAAGTTGTATTTTTGAGGATTAATTTTATTATTGAACAACAACCATGTTCTCAATGAACCCAAAAACTCATTAATATCAAAGCTGAATATTTTTGGAAGTAGTTTTTAGTTTGTTTTTAGTTTTAGCTATGTTAGGGGGATATCTGTGTGTGCAGGTGACTATTACTGTGCATAATTATTAGGCAACTTAACAAAAAACAAATATATACCCATTTCAATTATTTATTATTACCAGTGAAACCAATATAACATCTCAACATTCACAAATATACATTTCTGACATTCAAAAACAAAAACAAATCAGTGACCAATATAGCCACCTTTCTTTGCAAGGACACTCAAAAGCCTGCCATCCATGGATTCTGTCAGTGTTTTGATCTGTTCACCATCAACATTGCGTGCAGCAGCAACCACAGCCTCCCAGACACTGTTCAGAGAGGTGTACTGTTTTCCCTCCTTGTAAATCTCACATTTGATGATGGACCACAGGTTCTCAATGGGGTTCAGATCAGGTGAACAAGGAGGCCATGTCATTAGATTTTCTTCTTTTATACCCTTTCTTGCCAGCCACGCTGTGGAGTACTTGGACGCGTGTGATGGAGCATTGTCCTGCATGAAAATCATGTTTTTCTTGAAGGATGCAGACTTCTTCCTGTACCACTGCTTGAAGAAGGTGTCTTCCAGGAACTGGCAGTAGGACTGGGAGTTGAGCTTGACTCCACCCTCAACCCGAAAAGGCCCCACAAGCTCATCTTTGATGATACCAGCCCAAACCAGTACTCCACCTCCACCTTGCTGGCGTCTGAGTCGGACTGGAGCTCTCTGCCCTTTACCAATCCAGCCACGGGCCCATCCATCTGGCCCATCAAGACTCACTCTCATTTCATCAGTCCATAAAACCTTAGAAAAATCAGTCTTGAGATATTTCTTGGCCCAGTCTTGACGTTTCAGCTTGTGTGTCTTGTTCAGTGGTGGTCGTCTTTCAGCCTTTCTTACCTTGGCCATGTCTCTGAGTATTGCACACCTTGTGCTTTTGGGCACTCCAGTGATGTTGCAGCTCTGAAATATGGCCAAACTGGTGGCAAGTGGCATCGTGGCAGCTGCACGCTTGACTTTTCTCAGTTCATGGGCAGTTATTTTGCGCCTTGGTTTTTCCACACGCTTCTTGCGACCCTGTTGACTATTTTGAATGAAACGCTTGATTGTTCGATGATCACGCTTCAGAAGCTTTGCAATTTTAAGAGTGCTGCATCCCTCTGCAAGATATCTCACTATTTTTAACTTTTCTGAGCCTGTCAAGTCCTTCTTTTGACCCATTTTGCCAAAGGAAAGGAAGTTGCCTAATAATTATGCACACCTGATATAGGGTGTTGATGTCATTAGACCACACCCCTTCTCATTACAGAGATGCACATCACCTAATATGCTTAATTGGTAGTAGGCTTTCGAGCCTATACAGCTTGGAGTAAGACAACATGCATAAAGAGGACGATGTGGTCAAAATACTAATTTGCCTAATAATTCTGCACTCCCTGTATGGTGTTTGTCTTTTTCCCCTACCCTTGACCTTGGCTTCTTGTCTGACTATCCTTTCTGTTAAGTCTGACCAATGTAAGGACCGGTAGAAAGGACATTTTTTGTGTGTGTTCCTATGTAAATTTTTGTTTGCGTGTTTGGATCCCTACCTGCCATGACAGTATCACTAAGGTAGGCAGGCTTTAGAAGAACAAGACGTTTTTAAAGTATAATAGGTTTGTAAAGAATCACATTACCACAGGAATAGCTTTTCATCTATACATTTCTTTTGCTAAATTGCTAGCAAAAATGAAGCTAATGCATAACTGTATGTAGTAGTTTTAATAATGTTTTAAAGGGACACCGCAGACACTTCAGCTTCAAGCATTTTTATATATGCATTTGGGAGCGCCCCTAGCAATGAAGCTGACAGCCAGGATGGCTTCCTGATTCTCTCTACTTGAACGATTTGTTGTGAGAGCTTCCATATGAGAAGCTTCTAATGGGTGATCTCTGCATTTGATTGTTTCGGGCTACCTAATGTCAATTCTGTGCATATGTTATGTCACTTGTCAATGACAGATGTTAAAATCTTCTCCTTGAGGATTTGCTTAGATTGAGCCACAAATAGCATTAGTATGGTTGGGTGTTAATGTCGTCTGATTAGGTCTAAATAGCAATCAGTTTTCCCATTAATCCCAAAGGTATTCAGCGGGGTTAGGGTCAGGTCTGTGTTAAATAACCATTTCTGTACAGGCCATGCTCTTTGTGTGAGATCATTGTTTTACTGAATTTGAAAAAGACCTTCACAGACTATTAAAAGCATAGAATGACCGATGTTGTTTGCTGTTAAATATCACTCTACTGGTTATTTTGCCTCTAACAAACATTTCACTTGTCATTTTGCAGTCAGGCAGATAGCGTTCTCCTTGAGTCCTAAAAATCTAGTTGGTAAATAGAAATTTTCACTCTAGAAATAATTTCCTCTGTTTTAAAATGGTGGGTTTTACACCACTCTAGGGTACGCTTGACATGATTGATGTAAAAACTGTGAACAGTTCTTGTGGGGACATTCCAAGAAATGACAGCTTACCTTTACAATCTAAGCACTTTGTTGCTTTCCTGTCGTGTTCTGTCAGCTTGTGTGTCCTGACGTTGTAAGACTGCTATTTTATTCACTGAACCACAGTTTGCAAATTTATATCAAAATTGCCTAAAACATTCTCAAAACTCTCACATTTTCATATCTCATCTCGAATGGAATATTTCTTGTAATTAGACTTACATTAGCTGAGAATAGACAAAATTACTATGACCTATGACCATATAAGAATGTCATTTTATTTGATAACAACATATTTTAACAGAATACATTAACATTACTCTCATTTAAGTATTTGTATTGTGATATCTAATAAAACTAAACCTTTTTTTCTGATTTTGTACATGAAAGAGACGGGTGGAAGGAAATACTACACATTTTTGTACAGGCAAGCCCCACTTTGGGTACGATTTTCTTTAACGTTTGATGTACATGAAAGCTTCCGTAGAAAGTGACAAGCCTTATTCTTGATTTTATTTCCTGCTCACAACAGCAGTATGTCAATTTTTCCTGAACTTTCCCACTGAATTAACTTTCCACCTTTTCTTGAAGACTATAGTGCAGACATCCACATTTTGTTCTAAAAAGATATATTTATAAAATTATATTTTGCTAACTCTACCCCTATGTTTATTCTAGCTGTATGTATTTAGATTTTATATAGTCTCTTACAAACTCTGTTTTGTCTATTTTTGAACAGTCAAAAATAAATAAAAAAGGTTTTGGTAAAGTAAATCCATACTGTCTTGAATGTTCTATGCCTTTTCATTTTTAAACTGGGACATTTCGTTTCTTTATAAATGGCTCTATAAGTTACCATAACTACAATTATGAGACTCATTGGCCTGAATTTGCCTTCTTTGCGACCAATTTTTTGGTGATAATTAAAATCATCAGTCGCCAATTCCTGCTCTTAAAATTCAATTTCTCTTGTGATTTGGAGGGTGTACAAAAAACAACAATATTTGACATCCTTGGAAATAATAAGAAAAACCGGAAAAAAAACCCCCACACAATTACGATGCAGCAAAATGAAACTGTTTAAATAAATTATAAAAATACATCTAAAAGGGAGAAATTTGTATAAGGAGGCACTCGTTGTAGTCAGATGGCTGTAGGCAGCTGTCTATTTGCAAATCCAGCCCTGGCCATCCACATATTTTTCTCATTAAAATACTCAATTGCCTCTTTAAACTGTCAACATACACATCAAGCAATTAAAGCTGAGTTAAAATAATTTATTTAGCTGATTTCAAAAGTCTTCCAAACAATTTGGCTGCCAATCCGCCTGACAACTAACCCCTTGCTGTTGTGACTAGCGTTCTACTGGTAACCTTAATGTTTATGCTAGTTCCCATGATAGCAACACAATGAGTATAACTGTTACATTTGATGGAAATTCCAAATATCCCATGATTTAATGCATGAGACTTGTGAATGTATGCTTATACAGGGAATCATGGGAAAACGGTCTATGGCACATGTTTCACCTCTAGAGGATGAAGGTGCAAACTGGAAAATGGAGTAGAAGGAATTTTGTTTTTACTTGGCTCCAATATGATTTAACAGTCTCTTTATACTACACTCTGATGGGATATAATTGTTTATTTTACCTTTAATGTAAGATGAGAAAAAACGTTATTCTTTAAAAAAAATAAAAAAATAAAAATACTTTCGGCCTCTCTTTTTTTTTTGTAATGCATTTCAACAATGCATCCTATGATTCGACAAAGCATTGCAGCAGTGTACACTATGACAATCCTGTGATGACCCAGATTGCAGTTTGCTAAAATTTTCTGTGCATTTATATCTCTGGTATAGGCGTGTGCAAGACATGGGCTGGCTCAAATTATCTTTTCGGTACCAGGGGTGGACCCAGAGCCTAAACTCGGCACGTGCACTGCTGGATGTTGAGGCTGATTTAAAAAAGTAGGCACATACCTCCGAACACAGATGTACACACTTACAAATATACATACAATAAAAATACTTACATTCACACCCATATCCATACATACACCCACATGCAGACAGATGCAACAATTCAGAGATAGTAATGCAGTTTAATACATGCAACATGACTTCAGGCAATTAGGACAGTAGATTGGTCGCTGATTCATAAATGTCCATGGCTTCAGAGGGGGAGCAATTGCCCTGGTGTCCTCCCACCCACCTTCCAATCCACCACTGCTCTGTAGGTATCTGCAAACACTTTTGTCTGAGATTGGGTTAACTTGTTCTATTTTTGAAGAAAGAAAAATATGATTATCTCTGTATACACCTGGTTATCATTGTGGCAATAAATGCATATATGCACCTCATTTTTAAAATTAAGATTTTTAAACAAAGTAAAAAGTATACTATAGTGCCAGGAATACAAAGCTATAAAGGGGTGATCTCTTTTCCACAGGGAAGCACTAAATTGGCTGAGATTGTCAATTCTGATGATCACAGCCAAGGAGGCAGGGTGGGGGATGCCAATCAGCATCTCCTTAGAGATGCATCAAATCAATGCTCTCTATGGGTATAGTTCAGCATGGCCACTGTTTACATGAAAATGTCTACAGGGACTGACTATACTCACCAGAACAACTACATTAAGCTGTAGTTCTGGTGCCTAGCTTATAGTACCCCTTGAACTTGGCATCAGCTTTAAGACACTGTAATCTGCTAAAATTTTCACACCTAAATGTTGCATTTATTACACTTTGTGATATGCTGATATAATAATACATATCCTCCAAAGTTATTACAAACTACAAGCAATGGCCTTGATTTAATATTATTGCCTAAGCTTTTCAAATGATTTAATGTTTGGATAAACTTCTAAAATGATTTAATATTATGAGAAATATTTTAAATATGTAATCTTTTAATACGTTGATTTTTTTTATATATATATATATATATATATATATATATATTATATATTTTTGTTATTTTAATATGTTGATTAAAAAAACTATTTGAAAGAATTATCCAAAATTATTAAATAATTTGTAAAGCTAATCCAACAATACAAAATCAAGGCCAATATCACAAACAAATAAGAAATACAAGTTATTTTCGCAAGAAAGGTTATATTTTTTATGTACTTATGTACAAGTAGGGCACACATATTTTGCTCTACAAAACCACTATGTACAGATTTTCACGTGGTCACTAGTACCTGGTTACAAATTGAACTCCTACATTCTCTGCTATATTGTTGGTTTTCCCAATACATTTGTCCAAGAATTAAAAGTAATACATATTGCAGTAACTTTATGCCTATGGAAAATCCCTTGGGTAGGCATCACAGAGATTGAAATTCCGTAAGTCTCTGTATCCAGGGAAATAGCTGTCCACTTCCTTTTCCCTAAATGAGAATTCCTGATTTCTTGTATCATCATACATCATACACCACAGGCCCTGCATGGTTGTTGCTTAAATGGGCACCCCAGGTTGTAATTGTATGGTCAGACCCTGTGTGCATGGACACTGAGGAAACCAGCCTCGATTCTGTATAAAAATACATAAACTTTTTATTATCATGAAAGCAAATGTTTGTTCATGAAGACATGTTTGTGTTTATAAAAGAACCGTAATGTTTGTAGGATTTTATACTGAATCTAGGTGGGCTTCCTTAGAGCCCCACTCAATGCGTGTTACACGGTTATACTTGAAGGGGGGTATACCTCCTGCCTGGTCTTTCGTTTGTGAAGATTGCTAATCGAGACAGGTAAACTCTGGACCAAATATTGCCATTTCTGTGACATCATATACACAGGTACAGAAAATCACAAGAAGGGAATTTTTAAAATGTAAATATTTCTTGAAGTATAAATATTGTATGTGCTTTCTGGGCTACAGCTTTAAAGGGACACTCCAGGCACCAACACAACTTGTCTAGTTTTTTCCTAGTTAAAGGAACACTATAGTCTCCTAAATTACTTTAGCTAAATAAAGCAGTTTTAGTGTATAGATCATTCCCCTGCAATTTCACTGCTCAATTCACTGTCATTTAGGAGTTAAATCACTTTGTTTCTGTTTATGCAGCCCTAGCCACACCTCCCCTGGCTATGATTGACAGAGCCTGCATGAAAAAAAAACTGGTTTTACTTTCAAACAGATGTACCGTATTTATCGGCGTATAACACGCACCTCATTTTAAGAAGGAAATTTCAGGAAAAAAAAACCTTAAATTTCACCCCCCTTAATACTCCCCCCCCCTTCTTACCCTCCTTCTTACCCTCCCCCCTCCCCTCTTCTTACCCCCCTTACTCCTCCCTCTAGGAAGTGCACATCAGGTGCGGAAGGCAGCTCAGCCACTACAGGAAACAGAAACTCCTGAACAGAAACCCCTTCCCGCCTGTTTCCTGTACCCGGTCGGACTCACAGGAAGGCACACTGAGCGTGCACCTTCCTACTCACGGACAGCAGAGCAGCTCGGCCACGCTACAGGGGAGGGGAGGTGAGAACCAACTGCAGCCGCCTGACCGCTCTTGACAGAGCGCTCAGGCGGTTGCAGCATTTAAAGGGCTGGCGTATAACACGCACCCATAATTTGCCCCCTATTTTCAGGGAGAAAAAGTGCGTGTTATACGCCGATAAATACGGTAATTTACCTTAAATAATTGTATCTCAATCTCTAAATTGAACTTTAATCACATACAGGAGGCTCTTGCAGGGTCTAGCAAGCTATTAACAGCAGGGGATAAGAAAATCTTAATTAAACAGAACTTGCAATAAAGAAAGCCTAAATAGGGCTCTCTTTACAGGAAGTGTTTATAGAAGGCTGTGCAAGTCATATGCAGGGAGGTGTGACTAGGGTTCATAAACAAAGGGATTTAACTCCTAAATGGCAGAGGATTGAGCAGTGAGGCTGCAGGGGCATGTTCTATACACCAAAACTGCTTCATTAAGCTAAAGTTGTTCAGGTGAATATAGTGTCCCTTTAATTATAACTACAGAGATTTAAAAAGATGCTGCCACTTAAAGCTCATAACCCTCACTCATATAGGTCGCAGGAGATGCCATGTTGAGATGGCGCACAACATACAAATCTCTGCCTCTCTTTAGAGCTCCTTTGGAGATCTGTGTGAAAAAGCTAATATCATGGCTGTTCATATACAGTATCTCACAAAAGTGAGTACACTACTCACATTTTTATAAATATTTTATTATATCTTTTCATGTGACAACACTGAAGAAATTACACTCTGCTACAATGTAAAGTAGTAAGTGTACAGCCTCTATAACAGTGTAAATTTGCTGTCCCCTCAAAATAACTCAACACACAGCCATTAATGTCTAAATCGTTGGCAACAAAATTGAGTACACCCCACAAGTGGAAATTACCAAATTGGTCCTGAAGTGTCAATATTTTGGGTGACCACCATTATTTTCCAGCACTGCCTTAACCCTTATGGGCATGGAGTTCACCAGAGCTTCACAGGATGCCAGTGGAGTCCTCTTCCACTCCTCCATGACAACATCACGGAGATGGTGGATGTTAGAGACCTTGCGGTTCCCCACCTTCCGTTTGAGGATGCCCCATAAATGCTTAATAGGGTTTAGGTCTGGAGACATGCTTGGCCAGTCCATCTCCATCTTTAGAAGAGGCTTCCTTCTGGGACGACAGCCATGCAGACCAATTTGATGCAGTGTGCGGCGTATGGTCTGTGCACTGACAGGCTGACCCCTCCCCCCCCTTCAATCTCCGCAGCAATGCTGGCAGCACTCATACGTCTATTTCCCAAAGACAATCTCTGGATATGATGCTGCGCACGTGCACTCAACTTCTTTGGTCGACCATGGCGAGTCCTGTTCTGAGTGGAACCTGCCCTGTGAAACCGCTGTATGGTCTTGCCCACTGTGCTGCAGCTCAGTTTCAGGGTCTTAGCAATATTCTTATAGCCTAGGCCATCTTTATGTAGAGCAACAATTATTTTTTCAGATCCTCAGAGAGTTCTTTGCCATGAGGTGCCACGTTGAACTTCCAGTGACCAGTATGAGCGAGTGTGAGAGCGATAACACCAAATTTAACACACCTGCTCCCCATTCACACCTGAGACCTTGTATCACTAATGAGTCACATGACACTGGGGAGGGAAAATGGCTAATTGGGCCCGATTTGGACATTTCCACTTGGGGGGGTACTCACTTTTGTTGCCAACGGTTTAGACATTAATGGCTGTGTGTTGAGTTATTTTGAGAGACATTAATGTAGTCCATTCAAGTATGCAGTGTGTAATTGCATATCATTTAAACCGCTGCCGAGCAGGTAATCTACTTCCTACCGGCAAGAGCTCACCACAAGAAGCTGTAAATCCTGGGAATTTACAGCAAACATGGCAATTTCATAGTATAGTTTTATAAGTGTGACGTGCAGCACTTTAAATGCATTCTCCAAAATATGGAATTCGGATGATGGTTGATAGACATTTATGGTCTGTAATGCATATTTTGAAAAAGTTCCCATAAGTCATTCCATTTTGAAAAAGTGCATATCTTTTCTTAATGTATATTTGTTACTGTATTATTTGCACATGTTTTCATTTACCATCTATAATAAAGCGTTAAATAAATGGAGGAGGGGTGGGGGGTTCAAGGCTAAACTGGAGGTTCTATTGAACAATGTGGAATCATAGAGGTTTACGTAAAGTTAGGATTACAAGAAATTTATTGATTTGCAATGAATGGGGTTCCTGCACATATTAACACATGATTGCAAGGATGGCAGTTTTGTAGAATGCAATCAAGAACAAGAATAGTGCACAGTGAGATATTGAAATAAGAATCGTGACAGTTGCCCTATCCCATTAATCTATCTAATATCTACTTTTCTTCATGTTTCTTTTCGTGCACAGAGCCTCCTTGGTTCTTTTGTGTCTTTTCTCTGTGATTTCCCCCTCTCCCCCTGCAGCTTTTGTACATTGCTTTTGAACAGCTATGAATAATCTGCCAAAAAACATTGGGAAAGCAGCCGTGAATACCTTATGCACAGTGCCATTATTGTAGACGGAGCCTTTGCCAGCTAAAACCAACTTGTATTCCTGGCATAACTTGACAGCTTTGCCAAACAATATAAAATACTAAGAGGTTCAGCTCGCTCAAATTTCTGGTACCCTTGTATATAGAAATGATCAGTGAATGTACATAAAATTACGAATCTCTAAGGCTCAGTCAAATCTAAAAATTTTACTATTAATATAATTTTCCGTCTCATCTAAAGAAGTTACTTGCCAATGCAATGCAAAGCATAGAAATATTAAAGTTATGTTTTTTTCAGTACTTCATCAGAAATCTCAGAATTGCACACCTATTAAAAAAATAAATATTTTAAAAAAGGGTGTATAAGGTGGTGTTCATTAGCTGGGCACTGTATCACCTTTACAGGCACCCGCAGCATTCACCCAACGTATGGCTACTTTGGAAGTTAAATGTCCACATTAGCAGGGTCAATGCCCTCCAAATTTGGATAAAGTTGACATTGCCAATATAGAAGGCTGGTGGATGGTTAAAACAACTTTAAACATTTGTTCATGTAAAGAGACTGAGAGTATACTTCCATTCCAGATTCAGTGTTTTAAAGATCTCAGAAACAGCTGGTAGTTTCCTGTTTTGTTACATGGTTTATTTTTTCTTTCTCTTTATTTGCTGTAGCAAAGTATTTTCCCTTTGCAGAAACAGTTGAATTAATTGGAAGTATGTTTATTTGTGGATTGTTCACCAAGTGTTTCTTTTTCCTTTCCCCGCCATGTTTTGTTATTAATTCTCATGGGAAAGAAAACACTTGTATGCCTCATTTGTATTCATGTATTTGTTCACTTGATATTTTGTGTATATTTGGGTGAAAAAAAATCTGCTAATTACAATGATTTTACTTCATTGTGACAATATTTAGAAATGTGTACACATACTTTAGAGTACAGTGATTTAAAGGGACTGTCCAGACATCATCACCTGCCTCCATGCACAAAGTGTCTTAGGACTAGTGACTAGTAGAAATCAGAGAAAAGCAATGCTAGTCAGTGAGTGGATGAATTTTAGAGTTTTATAAAGAAGCCAGTGCAACAACTATAGCTCAGTTTTTTGCGAAAGTGTGACTGGCAGAAGCAATTTCATTCATGTGTTTGCATGTATGAACATGTGTGTTATACTTTTTCTGTGTCAGGGTGCATTATAGATCCTATACTAATGCCGTAATATAATATAGGTCATATTTCGGCATATAGGAACATGGGGTTATAAGGGAAATGCTGAGACTGTTCAATTACCTAAGTAACAGCAGAAGGAACAGATTGCATCTGGCATCAATACATAGGAGCCAACCTCTGCGATTCAATAAGCACAATGTTTGTAATGAAGTGTTTGGTGGAGAACACATCAGAACCCAGCTGTACATTATTATTATTATGGCGTTGTATCTATGAGTAGCTGGGTTACTACTACCTAGGTTGTCCTCTTCCCTTGTGCAGAAGTTCCAGAGTGATTATGCTCTCTTGCAGAGAGTACCGCCGTCTCACCCAAGCACAAGTCGAGACTTCATGAAGGGTGAAAATAAACTGATTTTATTGAGAAAAGGCACAGGATTATATACCCAGACCCCCAACATGGTTTTTCCATTCAATACAACCTAAGCCCGCCCAGGCGCCACTGTGTCTGGGAGATAACTGAGTAAGCGCTAGGGTAAACTAATTATCTCCCGGAAACCGAGAGCACAAGGCAAAATAACCCTAAAACATACATAAAATAACAGTGTACCCCCACATACTATAAATCCCTAGAAAGGTCTCTCTGGAGCCAAGTTCAGCGAAACGCATCTAGCCTCTGATCCTACGCAGAGTTCCAGAGTCCTGGGTAGTGTTCCCAGTCAACTAAAAACACAGTGCTTATGGTGGGTACATGGAGCTCCCACAAGTCCTTGGTGTCATTCAGTGCCTCGCCACCCCATCTGTTAACTCTCTAAAAAACACCCTGACTACTGGTCCTGGGTCCGAGAGCACTCTAGTTGAAGTTTTAGCGTACCGTGGCAACTCTGCAATCCACTTTAGGGTTCCAGGAAAGTTCAGGGTTGCAAAAATAACAAACAGTATAATAGACATTCCCTCTAATATCACCAACACACCGGTTCAACTCCCAAATCACTGTATTAATTTTTTACATAAAAACAAACATAGTGTAAAATCATTTACAATGGGTATAAAGAATAGAATACTCAAATCACTCACAAACAAATAGCCACTAAAGTGACTGAAGAAGCACTTAAATAGATTCTGAAGACCAACTTAAATGGTGAGAGTAATGTCCTGGAGGCACCTCTCTACCCTGCTTCAGGTCTGGATCCAGGCCGAAAGTGTAGTTCCTCCCTGGTGAGGAACATTCCCAAGCCGAAATTCAGGAGCTCAGTGTCTGACCTGTTTCGTCTGATATAGACTTTGTCAAGGAGAGCTTGTTAGTTCAGCGTTGCCCCCAGTCAGGCACAGGTGACTGGTAAAAGGTGATTCCGGAGCCGCCAGCAGGGGGGGGGGGTGGGCTTGAGGGTTAGTCCATAGTTATTATAGAAACATAGAAACATAGAATGTGACGGCAGATAAGAACCATTCGGCCCATCTAGTCTGCCCAATTTTCTAAATACTTTCATTAGTCCCTAGCCTTATCTTATAGTTAGGATAGCCTTATGCCTATCCCATGCATGCTTAAACTCCTTTACTGTGTTAACCTCTACCACTTCAGCTGGAAGGCTATTCCATGCATCCACTACCCTCTCAGTAAAGTAATACTTCCTGATATTATTTTTAAACCTTTGTCCCTCTAATTTAAGACTATGTCCTCTTGTTGTGGTAGTTTTTCTTCTTTTAAATATAGTCTCCTCCTTTACTGTGTTGATTCCCTTTATATATTTAAATGTTTCTATCATATCCCCCCTGTCTCGTCTTTCCTCCAAGCTATACATGTTAAGATCCTTTAACCTTTCCTGGTAAGTTTTATCCCGCAATCCATGAACCAGTTTAGTAGCCCTTCTCTGAACCCTCTCTAAGGTATCAATATCCTTCTGAAGATACGGTCTCCAGTACTGTGTACAATACTCCAAGTGAGGTCTCACCAGTGTTCTGTATAATGGCATGAGCACTTCACTCTTTCTACTGCTAATACCTCTCCCTATACAACCAAGCATTCTGCTAGCATTTCCTGCTGCTCTATTACATTGTTTGCCTACCTTTAAGTCATCGGAAATAATCACCCCTAAATCCCTATAGTCTTGTGAGAGATGGGTGGGAGTGGGGGAGGCATGTACCCGGCTTAGGCGAGAAGAAGGTCTGTCCCAATTATCATGAGTGAAGTAGTGATGGAGCATTAGAGCGGTACTGTCGCCGCCCCACCCGTCTCCCCAAATAAGTATTTCATAAACATGGAATCTTTATGAAATGCTGATATTGACTGTGTTTGAATTTCAGTGACATTCCAACTCAGTCAAAAGATATACTAAGACAAAGTAGAGGCTACATTGTCTCAATATTTTTTCCCCAGATAGAGACAGGGCCTCTTTAAGGAGCCCAGAATTAATTCTCTTGGTACTCTTGTAGTAGTATTAACCATTGCTCCTTGATGCTCATCTCATTCAGCCACCTGATAGGAATTGGGAGCTGTGGGGGCCCCAGTATTCCAAAGTTCCTATGTTAAGTTTAAATAAATGTAAAAAACAGGAATAAGTGCTATCTATCTATAAATAAGCTGCAATTCACCAACAAGGTGTTCCCCTAACCTTGTGAAAAAACAAAACAGGTATATAAAATAAAAAGGTGAACAGCGCTGACCTTATATAAAAATATATACGTTACATACGTGGTAGATGGTATTTGACAATGATATGGCTTAAACAAAGCAAAAAAATAATAATAGTGCAATATGTAATAACAGTGAAATAAAAGCAAAAGGAGTATATGATCCAAACTCACACTTTAAAGAGCTATATCAGCTCAGTTTAGAAGGACCTGGACGGAATAATCCCCGTCTGTGGATTTCTTAATGTGAGATCTTCCTGGTAGATTTATAGAGATGGACTTGCACAATATATGAAACAGGAAAGAAAAGAAACACTAATAGTGTAAATAGTACATGTAGGTATATTGTAGATAAAGATGATCCTACTTACATATACTAGAGCAATAGACCTGCTCTAGTGTAAACAGCTTCAGGTGGAACAATCCCCACCTAGGGATATAGAGGACCCAAAAGTAGCAGCAGCAAAATGAAATAGGAAGTAGGACTTATAGAGACTGGGTTTACATGGAGTATATATACTTTAATTAATAAAATAAAAAGTGAAAAAACGAATATACATATAATAATAAAATACCAGTCTGAATAAAAGTCAAAGTCTCAATATTACATATTGCACTATTATTATTTTTTTGCTTTGTTTAAGCCATATCATTGTCAAGTACCATCTACCACGTATGTAACGTATATATTTTTATATAAGGTCAGCGCTGTTCACCTTTTTATTTTCTATTAAGTTTAAATAAAGCTGCCAGATTCAGTTCAGTTTGGTAGAGACTTAGTTTCTGAGTTAGTATGCAATCCTGCTGAAAAGCTGAGTTATTTCAGTAGGAATTGACTTGACACAGGAGTTAATGGCGTTATCAAACAGCAATCACAATGGAGTTCTGTCTGCTGAGTTTCCTGACTTCCGCACCTGAAACTCAGGGTTTAGCGAATAAAGCTCTCTCTGCAACAGTAGAAAGGCAGAGGTTTGCTTTACTGGATCCTAAAAATAATGTCAATTGTGTAATAGTTCAACGAACTTTGAAACATATGCTTTTTAATTCAAATTATTGACTTCATATCTCAGTGGAATGATCTGTTGAAAAGAGGACATTCAGAGATCATAGTGTAGAGAACCAATGAGGTATCTTGATTCAACTTCATGTAACTGAGTGTTTTACACAGTGGAAAACTGTTCTATCAGGTTACATTTAACTTCTTTCTTGAAATAGCATTTTGCCCGAGGGTTACAGTAGAAAAAAGACAAAGAACACATATCTCTGTGGATAGCTTTGAAGAACACAACTTAACGTACAGCTTCCAAGCCATTTAATTTAATAAAGCATTTTATGCATGGTGATAAAAATTGGTTTCATTAGGCCATTAACAGACAAAGTGATTTTGTTTTGCTAAAACTAATTAAGATCCTCAATTTTAATAATTTAAAATAATTTAATAAATTATCTAACTGCAATGGTCACTATTAAAGTCTGTGGGAATGTTTGAAGACAAATCATTTGAAAAGTTGTCGCAACAGAATGAATTGTTTGGAAAGCCTAGTAAATAGAGGAATAAATTCAGATTGCAAAATTGAGGTCTCCCTGGAAAAAATCCTCAACCTGGCTCTAGTCAAAGTTTGGCTATTTTAGCCTCAGTTTTGGAAATTAGATTTAATTTGCTAAAATTCAAAGTATAGTGAATAACACTGAGAGTTATCATCAAGTGTCAGACTCTGGAAACCTCCTGCTCAGAACATTTAGAGGCAACTAGTGCTTCTCCTTCACGTATATTGTGGTCAAAAAGAATATTTTATTGTTCCTACATAGACCCTGTTCTTGATAAGGTTGGAATTGGTCAACGAATAGAAAATAAAATATGAACTTATTGGAGTATGTTACAGGATTACTATAGTTTCAGGAACATGAACATGTATTCCTGACCCTCTAGTGAAAACCTACCATTTAGGTGACTTGCTCCCCCCTCCCCCCTTTGGCCCTCTTAGGATGGGTTAAAACTCACCTTTTTCAGCTCTCCACGGGTATGCCGGCGCTGACCCCACTACCCTGGTGACATCATTCCCATGAAGCATTGGATTGGCTAAAAATCGGCAATTTTGATGGGCCAGCGCCGACGGACCCATGGAGAGCTGAAAATAAGGTGAGTTTTAACCCATTCTAAGGGGACTGGGTGGGGTGGAAGCCACCTAAAATCTGCAAGTGGGGGAGGCCAAACACGCCGTCATCGGCTGAATGCGCATGCGCCGCAAGAGCGGCGTGCGCATTCAGTCAGTCCATAGGAAAGCATTCTCAATGCTTTCCTATGGACGCTGGCGTCTTCTCACTGTGAAAATCACAGTGAGAAGTGCGGAAGCGCCTCTAGCGGCTGTCAATGAGACCGCCACCAGAGGCTGGATTAACCCTAATGTAAACATAGCAGTTTCTTTGAAACTGCTATGTTTACCGCAAAAAGGGTTAAACCTAGATGGACACCAAGACCACTTCATTAAGCTGAAGTGGTCTGTGTGCCTATAGTGGTCCTTTAAAGAGCTACGAGTGGAAACACGTAAACCTCTTTTTTTCCAAAGGACACTATAATCACCAAAACAACATTAACTTAATGAAGCAGTTTTTGTGTATAGATTATACCACTGAAGTCAAAGGCTCAACTGACTGCCATTTAGGCGTTAAATCACTTTGTTTCTGTTTATGCAGCCCTAGCCACACCTCCCCTGGCTATGATTGACACAATTTGCATGAAAAAAATGGTTTAATTTCCATCAGATGTTACTTTTGAAAGTTTTAATCTCCCATACCGGAGGCTCTTGCAGAGTCTAGCAAGCTAATGACAGAGCAGGAGCAATTGTCAGAGTCCCTCATTTGTAAGCATAAGGATTCTAGCTAGAACCCACGCTGCTTATTATTAATAGAAGAATACAATTGAACTAATTAACGTTGATAACTATTTGGGAAAAATAAAAGTATTTCAGGTTACAAAACATCTTGATCACGGGGTGATTTAAAAATGTAATTAACTTATTAAAACCTCAAAATTTGAAGCCTGTCAAAAAATATAAAATATATAATTAAATGTGTAAATGTACTGATATATGTCTGACTGAAAAAGATTCAAAAGCCACCAAAATCAGATATCCTATCTTGAAAACAATGTTACAACATTCTTCCTCCACATCTGAACTGAACAGATATCTGTATTCTTCTTAAGTACTTGTTTTATGTTATGAACATCTACTCTTACTACTAAATATAATTGTGATAATCTACAAAATGATTTAGAATAATGTATCCCAAGTGTTACTATGTATGGAAAGGCTATAGTGTGCTCTGGTTATTGGCAATTTTTAAATGACTACCCCATTTCAATGTTAAGATCCTGGTTAGTGTTGTCGAATTATGGTTTCCTGGCCGGTTTGTTTAACATTTACACTAACCCTTCACAGGTTCTCTGTTCATCTGCCACAGTAGAGGTTTTCTTACAAACCTTTCTGGAAACCAGAAGTCGATAACACTTGCCTAGATTATAAAACTGCAACTGTGTCCCATGATCACTTCTTCTGGTGGCTTGCCTCCCTTCCAAGACAACCTGATGGGTAGTATCAATGACTTCTTGACATTGGTTCACTGATAAGGTTCCTTTTATAGTGGACTGGCAGCCCCAAAACTGCTATTTTAGTGACAGGCAGTGAAGGTGAATCATGCAGGTAGCCCATGGGAACACCTGATAATGAGGATATCACATCTATAATGTGCTGTCTAGTGAGATTATCATTATTTCACCTGAGTCCAGTGGTACAAGGTCTTCCTTTCGTCTTATAGGGTTCTGTCTGCTTTTTTAAAGTCTCTTTTAATTTCATATAATTATTCCAGACACAGATTCAGGATTCCGCACCTGGAACTAGCAGGAGCACAATCTGAGAAAGAGGGATACAGATGGGTCTATCTATTTATTTATTTTCTTTTATTCTTGATACACTAGCATGTGTGTGGAAGATATGATTTTTTTTTCCACTGTGTGGTCCCAGGTTCAACTGCTGTTAACATGAAATCCTATATTATTATAGCAGCAACAATTGGCAGTTAAATTAACAAAATATTTAAATGGATATACTTTTTTTTTGTTCCAAAAAAGTCTTTATACTATTTCATGAGATAAAGGGATGTCTAAGATAGACTAATACTAACAAAGGATTGTTAACAGTATTACTTTACTGAGAGGGTAGTGGATGCATGGAATAGCCTACACAGTAAAGGAGTTTAAGCATGCTTGGGATAGGCATAAGGCTATCCTAACTATAAGATAAGGCCAGGGACTAATGAAAGTATTTAGAAAATTGGGCAGACTAGATGGGCCAAATGGTTCATATCTGCCGTCACATTCTATGTTTCTATGTAACAGGTTTAGCTGTGATGGTGTTAGATCAGAAGTAACCATGTTAGCAGGAGGGAGCCTTATTTTCCCCTCCTTTTTAGGGTCGTTTGGATGCATCATTGACAACCATGTCAACAGGATACTGGCTGGGTTTTTCTTTGTTTCTTTCAGGAATAGTGCTGCTACCCCAGTAAATAGTGCTGATAGGTGACAGTGTGCTTTTAACTGTTTCATAACTAGGTTGTCTTTCTCTTTAGTGTCTCAAATTGCAACTGACAAAATATACACAGACAATATCTACAGCTATGTAACTCATTTTAAAGAAAATCCCTTACTAGGGTAAGTACTTCTTTAGTAGTTATATAGCAGGGGGTTTAGATTGCTTAGAAAAGATGAGGGGTAATTTAAAGTTGGTAAAGGATTCTTTTTGTGAGTACCCATCAGCATCCCTTATCCAGGCTGGCCACATTGTGCTGCTCAGAATGGGTTCACTGAACCTGGAAATCTGAATTGACTTGTGTTGGAGGCCCCCATCCCTCTGGCTGCTCTGAGTTTCCATGGAAGAAAGCTACTTCTTTTCACCCGTTTCTAGGGCAACCCCTGGGAGCCGAGCATCTGAAAACAATTTGGCAGAGGTGAGGATGGGTCTGCGAATCGGTGGGAAAGATCATGAAGGAAATAAAGGCATTCTCCTTCCTCTCCCCCCTTGGCAGACTTTTAAAGAACACTTTAAGGGGACCGCTTTGAAGCTTGGTGTGTGCTAGATTTGCAGAACGTAATCGTACAGTGCAGAACACAGGCACTCCATACTGATTAAATCACGTTTTAGATTATTATTCTGCTCCAATTTAAACTCTACATTGCAAGCAGAAAAGTGAATGTTTAATTACATGTGGAATATCCAAAACGATAAAATACTAATAATCATTTGAAGTGTAGTTGTAAAGATAAACCAACTTAACTATCATATTCAAACCTCATGTGCTGGTATTGACATGGAATATTGTATAGAATACATATCCTTCCTTTTCCTCCTTAATCTTCAGGGTTGATATGTTTTTGAATTTGTGCTATTTAAAAAAACTGGGGGTAGGGGGGTTACCGCTTAAAGATGCATATCTGAACAATAGTACTGCTGTAAAGATTTACATTTATACACAAGGGTAAAGTGCATACAAATATTGTGGTGGCTCACAAACATTTGCTAGCAACCCAACCACTGGGCAGATAGTTTGGATTTTTAAAATACTGGGCCTGGATTAAACGAATCGGATCCATTTTGATCCAGATTTGATCAGGCAGAAATCCTGTCAATATTTTGGTTCATTCAAAGCCTTATTTGTAATATTCGGACATTTTTTATAGTGTCAACAATTTCCAGATGTTGTTGTCCAAATGCCCTAACAGATGGGAGTTATTGTGGGGATGCTGTTTGTAGGATTGTGCGTCAGTGAATGGGACTGTTTGCAGTGTAGTGGGTGTATAAGTAGATGGCTGTTAGTGGAGTAGTTTGTTTATGTTTGTGAGGGCATAGGGGGTGAATGCATGTGGGGTTAAGCATGTGGGGGTATAGGGCAGTGAAACATGTGGGAGTATGGGAAGGGGAAGCATGTGGAGGTGTAGGGGGGTGTTATGAGAGGGTGAAGCATGTGGGGGTGTAGGGTGGTAAAACTTGGGGTAAATGGGAAGCTGTAAAATGTTAAGGTACGGGGGAATGTAGAATGTGGGGGTATTGGGTAATGAGGCATGTGTGGGGGATTCTAATTCTAATATTAATTAGAAAAGTACCTCCTACATGTGTTTAACTCTTTGAGGGCTGGCGATCTGTGCAGTGGGTTCATAAGATCTGAATAATTTGTTCTTGTTTAAGTAGACATATATAATTCTTTGTTTGGTTTCCAATGTACCCTTCAAAATCCATGCGGAGGGGAATTCTGGCAGCACATTCTGCCCTTTCGCTATGACAGGTTGACATTGAGAAGCTTTTTTTCTGCCCTGTGTGTTCTGCCAGAGTCATTAGCACGCAGAGATGGTGTGTGCCCATTGGCAGACTTTGTGAATGGGCTTCATTCATCCTTTGCTGGCCATTATACTCTTGGTCTCTCGGGAGCCTTGGTTCTTCTGTTCTACCAGGCTGTGCCCATATCACTGTGTTGCCTGAGAACCTTCCTAAGTGAAACCATTCCTTTGTGCAATTGCACCCTATTTGAGACCTCTATCTAAGCAAAGATAAATGCTGATATATGTGTACTGATTAGATTATGTTTGTTTAGTGTATCACAGATGCCCCTAAACTGGAAGTGGAAACCACATTGGTTTCATGATGGTCGTACCTTCTGTAAGAGTGTTTATCAAAATTAATCCATTCTGAAATTTGAAACCAAAATTCACATTTGCATAATCAATTCCACCTTTTGTGGTTTTAGCTAATTTGAGTGTCAGTGTAGTTGTAGGTTTATCAAAGATAAAAGTAATAGGACTTCATTTGCATTCAGAACTGATATTGAAATAAAGTATACAATACAGTTTTTTAGTTTGTTGGTATTTATTGTAAGCACGCATTAGCCACCTACTTTCTACCTTGTCCCACCTGTACCCTGTCTGTGGCATAAATTGCATTATTTAGGTCTGAGTTTTATCCCTAGTGGTGCATAGCATGCCATTTAGATTGATTCTATTTGTAATGTGTTTTGAGGTCACCACAAGCTGCGTTTTGCTGCATTAATGGGTATACAATTAGAAAGTTGCAATTTGCGGCAGTATGGTAAAATGTGATAACATAGCAGAAGTCCCAGCTAGCTAGTTGAATATGTGAATAAAGATAGCAGGTATATATATGTATATTTTATTTATTTATTTTAATTTTAAATTATTTTGTTTCCCTCAATTTTATCTGTTTTTGCCTGGTGACAAATAACATGAATGACCCTGTGTAAAGTTTTTTTTTTTTTAATTTTACATTACTTTACATTAGTATTGGCATACTAATGACTGTCTCATTTCCATAGGGATGTCACATCACGGAGGATATTCCCATAATGCACTACTCTATGCTCTAAGAAACTGTGGCATCCGCCACATTGACACAGCCAAGAGATATGGCAATGAAGCATTTGTTGGAAAAGCTATTGCTGAAAGTGGTGTGAATAGAGAGGAGCTCTGGATTACCACCAAACTATGGCCAGGAGACTATGGGTATCAAAATACAATACAAGCATGTCTGGACTCATGTGAAAGGCTTGGACTAGAATATTTAGGTAAGTGATGACAATCTCCTAAAAAAGTTTTAATCGGCAGGACAGAATATAACATTTTTTATAATTCCCCTGTTCCTCTTTTATGCTAATTGGTGTAACGCTTTCCAGTCATTTTTACCATTGTATAGTTAAATATTTAACACCTTTATAAAGTGAGCGCTCAAAAAGCTGATGGTCCTAGGTTTTTGCTTGTTTTAAATTTCTTAAACCTGCTGCAGATGGTAGGGGGCTGTTAGGCACCCTCCTTTTCATACTTCTTTCTCATTGAAAGTGTTTAGTTATTTATATATTCCCAGATTTAGCAAAGCAGTCCTGATTTGGGTCATTGTTCATCAGAGAAAATCACAAAATATGCATTCCTATGCAAGGTAATGACGGGCATTAGTTGGTTTGCAAGGCCACCTGATGCGGAACACGTGCACATCAGCTTGTTATGTCTCTTTTAAAGAATACCTATTCCTTACTTTGCTAGAGTTTCACATTGTGTCACCGGATCACCACCACCCACTCCAATCCTTATTTAATGTAAAAAATTAATTTAATATGAAATTGGTACAGGAGACCTAATTGGGGCCTTCTTGTTTCTATTAACCCCTTAAGGACACATGACAGAAATATTCCATCATGATTCCCTTTTATTCCAGAAGTTGTGTCTCTTTTAGGTTTGCAGCATTTCGGTTTGTTCAGTGTTGCTCCTCTTGGCATGTACAAATGTTCTTGATAGAGGTCAGCATCACCTAGCTTGCTAAAACTCTTTTTAGTTGGGTTTCTTAAGTGGGTCACATAGAGTAAGTGCTTGCAATTGTAACACACTTTTACTCTACACCTGGCTCCTAACTGTGACACTCTAAATCCTTTAATGATTAAATGGAGAACCTACAAGCTAATAAAATGACACTTCTAAAAAGGAATCCTACAAAGAGTTTTTAGTAATTATTATGTATGTCTGTGGATTCTAACAACCCTGATATTATGTAGTTATATGTCAACCTTTCATCCTTTCTGGTGGTGAGGCAGGCATACTTGTATGAATTGAGAGCACGCTGTCCCATAGAATTAGTGGTAGAATATGCTTTGCTTTTAGACCCACCGATTAGTATTTTATAAGAAAGATAATTCATGTGCTGAAGATTTAAAGGAACACTCGAAGCACCATAACCCGCTATAGTGCCCCCCCCCCACACCATTGTAAGTAGTGAAACTATTTTTGAACCGTTTGATACCTTTCCTGGTGACGGCTGGATGCTGCTGCCTTCCTCCACTGTTAACGCTGGAGAGCCAGAAGCTTTTAAGCAGAAGCTTGCATTACCTTTTTTGGGCTAAGCTGTCAGGATCGGTGGAACATAAATGTAAAGACAATAGATACACTTTCCATATACTGGTCCTTAGAGTGGCTGTGTTAACTAATCAGAGAGAATTTTGAGATCAAGGACAGGAGAGATACGGATAAACGGTATAACAAACCAAGTCATAGTATTAAAGAGATCAGGAGAAAAGGTAACTCAGTCAAATCAGATACCAGGAAAAGGGATACACAAGGAACACATTCTTGGACTACTAGAATCACAAAAAGGAGTGGTAGAGGTAAGTATAAATAGGCATGGCTTCATTTCTGTTGGACCATCAGGGCCGCCATCAGGGCATGACAACCGTGACAATTGTCATGGGCCCGGTAGCCCTGGGGGGCCCGGCCGCCCGGGCCCCACGTGGATCAGCGGAACTGCCACCGGTGCATCTGCACCGGGGCCCACACGCTGATGGGGCCCATCAGGTGGCCCAAGCATTTAGGGCCACCCAATGGGCCCTATTATCTTCAGGGGCTTGATCAGCGCTGTAATAGCGCGACCGGGCCCCTTTAAAAAAAAAAATGCAGCCGGAAGCAAGTGCTGCTGGGAGGAAGTGATGTCCGGTCACTTCTTCCCACTTTACTCCGCACGGGAAGGAGGACGCAGCCTGAGGAGAGGCAGCCGACGCCCATCATCCCCAGCCACCCTCCTGCAACGAAATGGTAAGGAAGAGAGGAGGGTGGCCGGGGATGAGGTGTGTGTATGTATGTCAGTGTGTGTATGTATGTCAGTGTGTGTATGTATGCCAGTGTGTGTGTGTATGCCAGTGTATGTATGCCAGTGTATGTATGCCAGTGTATGAATGCCAGTGTATGTGTGTATGCCAGTGTGTGTGTGTATGCCAGTGTATGTATGTATGTCAGTGTATGTGTGTATGTATGCCAGTGCATGTGTGTATGCCAGTGTATGTATGCCAGTGTATGTATGCCAGTGTGTGTGTGTGTATGCCAGTGCATGTGTGTATGCCAGTGTATGTATGCCAGTATATGTGTGTATGCCAGTGTGTGTATGCCAGTGTATGTATGCCAGTGTATATATGCCAGTGTGTGTATGTATACCAGTGTATGTATGCCAGTGTATGTGTGTATGCCAGTGTATGTATGTATGTCAGTGTATGTGTGTATGTATGCCAGTGCATGTGTGTATGCCAGTGTATGTATGCCAGTGTATGTGTGTATGCCAGTGTGTGTGTATGCCAGTGTATGTATGCCAGTGTATGTATGCCAGTGTGTGTATGTATACCAGTGTATGTATACCAGTGTATGTGTGTATGCCAGTGTGTGTATGCCAGTGTATGTATGTATGTCAGTGTATGTGTGTATGTATGCCAGTGCATGTGTGTATGCCAGTGTATGTATGCCAGTGTATGTGTCTATTTATGCCAGTGCATGTGTGTATGCCAGTGTATGTGTGTATGTATGCCAGTGCATGTATGCCAGTGTGTGTGTATGCCAGTGCATGTATGCCAGTGTATGTGTGTATGTATGCCAGTGTATGTATGCCAGTGTATGCGTGTATGTATATGCCAGTGTGTGTCTGTATGTATGCATGCCTGTGTGTGTCTGTATGTATGTATGCCTGTCAGTATGTATGTATATATCAGTATGCAGTATATGTATGTATATGTATGTTTGTCAGTATGTATGTCTGCATGTATATGTGTGTGTGTGTGTGTGTCAGTATCTCCCTATGCATGTGTGTATGTCTGTTTCAGTATTTGTATCTGTTAGTGTGTGTGTATTCCTGAGGGCGGGATTTGGAAGCGGGCTTGAAGGGGAAAACCCTGCAGCGCACCAGTGTGCAGCGTTGCAGAGAACGACAGGGGGCCCAGGTAAGAGACAGAGGCTCACTACAAGTACTTAGCCCAGAAGAGCAAATACAAGCTCCTGCTCTTAGCTCATTGGCTAAGATTGACCAGCTTAGGCTCTCAGCTAATGAGGGAGCCATTCTTGGCTCAGAAGAGCTAGAGGTGGTTCTCACTTAAGAACTTCTGACACTCTGGTGTTAGTAGTGAAGGTAAGGAGTGGCATCTGGCGAACCTAAGGTAAGAAGTAAAACCTTTCAAAAAGGTTTGACTTTTTACAATTGGTGGGCTGCCAGTGCACTCCTGGCACCATACGCACTACAATGAGCTATAGGAATGTTCCATTGAATCATGCATTTATGTCTTACTAATGTTCACACAAGGATATCAGTACATCATGTCATGAATTCTCCTCAGGCCTAGTTTAGAGGGGAACTATAACTTCCCAGGATTTTAATATATATCTTAATTATGCCTTAATTAGGTTGTGAAAAATGAAATAAAAATGTATACATCCACAACCTGCAACTGGGCGCCGCCATCATAGCTCCTTGACAGTCATTGTTATAAGGCCCGTTCCTTTGCACCTGCCAGTCAGCTAAAAGAAAGCATACAGAGAGGAGGAGAAAACAAACAGTGTTTCTTTTTATCTTCATTTGAAATGTTTTCTTTTGCTTTGCCTTGTCTGAACTGGATTATGATGTAATTTGATAAATCTTTAATATAAATAAAATTAAAAAAAGAGTATCTCATGAAAAATAGGTTCATAGAAGCTACGTGTGATCTCAATGTTATATTCAACGGTGTGAATTCCACAGAAGTGCGTTTCCTTTTTACGAATTTGAAGCTTCAGTCTGGTATTGGGCTGGTTGTAGTAGGGTTTCATGCTTCAAAGTCAGAATATTTTCAGTCGGAGTGCTGCGGTCTTGTCATAAAAAGACGCCTGTAATTATTGTGTCATGTTCTGTGCCGATATGCTTTGTAGTGGAGATGGGTACTTGGACAAATAAAGTGAACCAAAGCATCCCAAACTAACGTAAACAAAGGCATTTTTGGCTTGTGAAATGTCATCACAACAGGATCTCCACCCTCGCTTGGTATTTACAATAAAAAGACCTTCTGCAATCGTGGCATTGGAGTTGGCAGAGTCACAAAACATATTTTAAACAGTGCTAGCTTTTGGAATTAAGTGAAGTGTATGTATCTTGACCAACCACCATCTGTTCTATATGATTCGCAATATATAGTAGAAGGAATAGATACTTTGTGACTGTCCATTTCAATTTGTAATAATTGTGCATCTGCTTAGTAATCTTATTTTATTATGTAGTTGCTTTGGCCATTGTATAGCTTTATCATATGAGTGTAGCACTCCAAAGTGCTTTGAGAAATTATCTTTATGATATACTGCAAAGTTACAAAGATGTTGCTGAAATGCAACGCTCATGATTCTCTGTCTATTTATTGCAATTAAAGAATTCTGGAAGTTGTAGGCTATTAACTTCTGGGGGGAGGGTCGGAGGGCAGAGTTGAGAGGCACTAGATCAGGCTTCCCCAAATTCCGGCCCCCCAGATGTTGCTGAACTACAACCATGATTCTATGAATGAAATAGATAGACTGAGAATTATGGGTGTTGTAGTTCAGCAACATCTTGAGTGTGGGGAAGCCTGCTCGAGAGGCAGTAGGGGCTTTGACTGGAAAAGATTCAGTTATCAAATCATTTTGAATTGCCACATCAGCATGTAAACTATACAGATGGGGGATGATTGCTGCACATGCACTGAGTGTCCTTGATGCTTCGTTAAGCAAAACATCTAAATGAACAAAATTTTGCAGAAGCTGGTCAGGCTGCTGGGGTTAAACAGACCAATGAAAATTGGGAAGTTTAACTGTGATTTTAATTATTAAAAAAAAAAAGTGATGCTAATAATCTGGAAATAAGGAGGTCTTAATAAAAAGGCTTCTTTTTATTAGTGTTCCTTTTATGTATATTTTGCATATTTGTAATGCATTATATATAATGCATTAAATATGCGTGTCACCTCCTGTACAATGTTGAAACCTAATTATTACTCTCAAATGATAAGTATCTGAGCAAGAATTGTGGCTATTCTCATTTGCAAATTGATTGTTTTATTGCCTCTAAAGACTAACCAAAGTTCACTGCAGAACTGTAGCTGCCAAAGGGAGTAGAAGTAAATGTTAATTTTGGTTTTGATAATTGAATTCATTTGCAGCTGAAACAGTGATTAGGTCAGTTCCACTCCAGAAACAGCCTGCAATTACTTCTGCAATTACGTCTGCAACATGCTCACATGCAGTGGTCAGGCATGTCAGCTCCTAAACATCAAGATGTTATATGGTTTGTCAGTAACCTATAATTTAGATGTCTTAAAATTGTGAACTAGCATGTATTGTGTTTCTCCAGTTTCTTAAATATAGTTATCAAAACAACTTTAGCTTAATGAAGCAGTTTGAGTGTATAGACTCTTACCCTTCAGTCTCACTGCTCAATTCTCTGTCATTTACAAGTTAAATCACATTATTTATGCAGCTCTAGTCACACCTCCCTGCATGTGACTTACACAGCCTTCCTAAACACTTCCTGCAAAGAGTCATCAAATGTTCATACTTCATTTATTGCAAATTCTGTTTAAATTAGAATTTCTTATCTTTTGCACTTTTAATAGCTTGCTAGACGATCAGGAGCCAACTGTTAGTTCAATTTAGAGAGCAGGAGATGTTTTAAACTTTTAATGTAAGTTACATCTTGTAAAAAATTAAACCATTTTGTTTTCATGCAGACTGTGTCAGTCACAGCCAGGAGAGGTGTGGCTAGGGCTGCATAAACAGAAACAACAGTGATTTAACTCCTAAATGTCAGTGAATTTAGCAGTGAAACGTCAGAGGCATAATATATACAAAAAAAACCTGCTTCATTAAGTTAAAGGTTTTTTTGTGACTATAGTGTCCCTTTAACCATTTTTTACATACAGCAAATTATTGTCAGCTTGTTACTCAAAGGGACACTTTTTGAATCAAAACTACATCATAATGTAGGGGTTTTGTTGATTAGACCATGTCCCTGCAATCTAAGAGTTGTGAACATTATCCACAGAATAACATTCTTATATTTATCAGGATTGTTGTTAGGTTCCAACGGTTCCTGGGATTGAGCCAAAAACTTTAGAAACTAGTAGATTTAGCAGAATAGAAAATGTATATAATATTTTTTGTAAAGGTCTCTCTGCAGTTTTAAAACATGCTGGCTATTTTTATACTTTCTTTAAAAAAAAAAAAAAAAAAAAAGAAAAGAAAATAGCAGGATTTGCATGTCTAGGTTCCATGAAGCACAAAATACTCTTGCTCAAAATACATTTACTTTAAAATTATGATGTGTAAAACAGATTTGTTTTATTTTGTTTATATATTACAGTTAAAGGAACACTATAGTGATTGAAATACAAACGTGCATTCTAGTCTATAGTGTTAAAAATGCCATATAACTTACCTTTTATTCATCGGCACACTTGCCGGCCGCGCCTGGCTCTGCCCTGCTCCACCTTTTCGGCTGAACTCATCTCTTTGGCTGAGAATTCACCCACTCCTACTGTTTCTCCCAATTTATCAGTATATTTTCCAGCACCTTGACTTGTGAGCTTTGCAGATTCCCCTTGGATGATATTTTGCACAGTTTGTCTGTGAGAAGGCTGAGGAGCCACGCAGGATTTGTGTGCAAGCCTTTTATTTTAAAGGGATGAGAACATGTCATCAAAAGTTAGATTTGATTAATAAATATCAGTTGATGAATAGGCAGAAATCTATTCTATTCTATTTCCCACATTTCAAGAGAAACTCTTTGTCCAAAAATGCATATAGTGTATGTATATGACATGTAATATATATATGTATCTATATGTGCATTTGTATATACATACACCTTATTAAATTAAATAAAGATCCATCTTTCACTGAGAACAAATTCCCACTACACAATAGAGATTTGTATGGAAAATACAAATCCTACTTTAGTGCTGTATTAGTTCAAGAAATAATTTTTATGAGGTTGGAAAAATGGTGACGTGAATGAATATAAGTCCGTATGTTGTGGACTAAAAATCATATTAGGCTCAGACAACCTCTTAATATATTTTTGGCAATCCTTTAAATGCATGGTTCTTGGAAGTGGTGGAGAGGATATTGGGGAAGGTATTCCCGCTAGATAATCCCCCTCAGTCAAGATATTCTGGCTGCTAATACCATATGTTTCATTGTTTTACAGAGTATGAAAAAATATGTTAAATGATTATATCAACTTCTTAATATATATTTTTTAAATCATTAATATGTTAAGCTAGGAAATGCAAAATAATTTCATAGTATTAATTCATAAATACTTCTCAATAATTTAAAAATAAAGATGGCTAAAATTGACGACTCATACTAGCTTCAAAGTGGCAAAAACTCTTTAACATTCCCTGGGCCCTTAGGACACACTAACCTATCCATTGACAACGTACCATGTTTTTCCTCAACAAAACAATGTTAATTGAGGTATTCTCTTTATGAGAGCACTGGATATGTTTGTAAAAGTTGTATCCGCAGATTTTGTTGGCGTTCTGGAATCGATGGCTTTTAAAATGTATCTTTCCCTGCTAAATGACATTGTACAGTGCACTCATTTTAGTTAGAGATATCTTCTGTGACCACAGATAGTCACTGAGAAACCATCCATCTAGTCTTGTATTGCATAATAATATAACCTTTTTTTAAAATTTCTATTACAAATAGTTTTTCGTTTCAGATGAATGAATCACAAATTGTGTAGCATGCAGTCGCATGGGCGACACTTAAATCCTACATTTCCTTCTTTGTTTAAATTCATAACTTGTCCCCATTCATTTCAAAAGAAACCGAGAACTGAACAAAGCCAAGCTGCATATATTAAGCCCTCCTCAATTATCTTACAGTTCTTGGCATCTTAGATCGATCCGTACAACTTGTAATTAGCATTTTGTTGGAGATTATTACCCTAAATGCACAGTTCACAGAATTGCTGGCAGGCACTGTTTGACACTTTGAAGTGACACACTGATGAAGAAGATTAGAGGACACTGCAGGTGTGGATTTGTAGGACAGACACACCCACACAAAGCCATTAATGTGTCTTGTTAAAGGTTCAAATAAGTTATTTTTGCTGCAAGTATTGTTAAGCACATTATAATGTAGTGAACAGAATGATTATTTTTCTTTTTAGATTTGCAATTTCAGTTTCATAGTTTGGTCAGAGCCCCGTTGTGGCAAATGGTAAAAAGGAAACAAAATGCAAAGTTACAGGACTGTCAGGAAAGGAAACCATTGGGTCCTGCTTGGCACTTGTTCCAAAACTCATAGATACATACTGACAGACACATACACTTTTAAGTGTTACCACCTGCAGAGCCAGACATTCATACACACCTGCATTGCCAGACATACAAACAGATACATACACTAGTAGATACACATAGAGAGAAACAAACACTCTCATTACCAGACATACAAACCCATGGACACACATACTCTCTGAATGCCAGACATACACATTCAGTGACAGACACTATGAGGCACAGAAACTTGCATTGTCATACATACTCTGAAAAAGACACTCTTTGCCAGAAACACAGACCCAGAGATATACACTTAAGCACACACATATGTTATATGCATATATGCTGATGCAGCCATCACAATTTCGGTGGGACAGTCTTTAATTTCGGGTTCCATCCTAACTTTGTCCCCTGGTGTCCTGCTTTTCGGCACAAAAAAGCATAGCACAAGCACAAGCACATCAATAGACACGCTCCATACATGGTCCGCCTTTGGTGGGCAGGCCTACTTGATCTGCAAGCTGTCTAGCGGCGTTCTCGCCTGGCATTATCTTAGCAACCATGTTCCAGAATGGTCTGAGGTGTGGGCAGGTCCACCAGATGTGGAATATTGTTGCACTATTGGTCCTACATCCCTGCATGGCACAAATCTTAGATTAGCGGGTTGGAACTAGCTACCATCTGAACAGATTTTTTTTTTTTAAGAGTTCCATATGTTATGAGTGTCTTTCTCAAGGTCTTTATGCTGAGCTTCTTTAAACCCGGGGATTTGTGTGGACACATTCCTATTTATACAAGCATAACATATTATAGAAAATATTTTTCTTATTAGGATACTGCTGTAAGCAAGTGTTTTCAAAAAGGGTTAGAGGTAAGTCAGACGGAGAAAAACCCTCTATAAGTTTGATGGTGGTTAAACGTGGCTTGAGTTGTAAATATGAAAAGTCATGTTACTTGAATTGAATATCCGTAAAAGGCTTAAAGAACCACTTGTGGACTAATTGGTAGACATGCATGATGCCTCAATACACACAATGTATATAATTGAATGTAAGTATACTTTATGATAAGGAATACAGGGATGTTGTTAAAGAAATAGGAGAATAGCTGCGTGGAGAGTTTCTAGTCATGTCCCTTATCTAGATAATAAATGCTGTGGTTGACAGCATGGGTGGTAATGCAGGTCTCATGTGACATAACCATAAAAGGTAATATAAATCCCTCTATCCATGAGGATTCAATGTCCAGATATTGAGGTGCCTTAGATTGTAGGTAAGAAGACACAATTTGACTCATAGAATCTGCCCTATAGTTCAGCTTCAGATTTGGAACCCAACTTTATCCTCTGGTCTCTTCAGGATATGTGTCGCTACCCTCACTTTTTTGTTTTGCCAAAGGAATCTATGAAATAGGTGTTGCACTTTGGCAAAGGGATATGCAGTGTTCTGAAAAGATATTAGATTTTCGGCAACAATAACAATTTATTTGCTGTGATTCTCCCTACCCACGACAGGAATTCCCCCTCCCAAATTGAAGTCATTTTAATGAACAATATCCTAAAAATATCCCATCTTAGCATTTTATAAATTAAGGCAGTATTCTTCTTTAAGATTTTTAACATTAAATAACCTGCCAAAACTCATAAATATTTTACCCAGCTAAAATCCCTCTAAAACACATGCTTTGACAGCTCTAGGAAGTTTGGATAACCCAATAATTAACCTAAATGTAGCTTCGGACTGTGGTATCTTTTCACACAAAAACTGTATATAGCGGCTACTCAATTCGATACACTAAAATTTGTAGGTGTACATATCAGGTGAGCTCCCCAATCAAACCCTAAAAAATATGTAATGTTATATATATAATGTTCAATGAATAACATTTTAAATGTTTAGTTTGCCAAGTCTTTATTGATGAAAATTCTTATATTGCTTACCTCAGGGGTGACAATATAGCATACACTGTGACATAAAGTACAGATAGTGAGAAAATAACAGACAAATACCCTACAAAAACTCAAAATTATCACATATCCCTCCAACCTGGATAACTAAGTAATAAAATAGAGCTTTTTTAAAAAATAAAAAAATTAAAAAAATTATGGCAATAAAAAATCACAGTCTCCTCCTTAAGGTTATGAATGCAAGTAAATCTTCACCGTGAGTTGTGTTATACAAGTCCTGCCAATATTCATTTTGGTAATCTCCAAAAAAACAATGTTGCAATTAACCAAAGTGTATTACTATTTTTATGAGGTTGGAAAAACGGTGACGTGCATGAATAATAAGTCTGTATGTTGTGGACTAAAAATCTTATTGGGCTCAGACAACCTCTTAATATATTTTTGGCATTCCTTTAACTGCATGGGTTCTTGGGAGTGGTGGAGAGGATATTGGGGAAGGTATTCCTGCCAGATAATCCCTTCAATCAAGATATTCTATTATATTGAGTTCAGGGTGGGCTATTGTATGTTCTATAAATAGAATATGTTGTCATAAATTGTCAGGATACTGACAGGGATCCAATACGCAGAGTGCGCACAGAAGGAGGTACGTATACCGGACCTTAGAATGGCCGGACTTACGTAAGGACAAAGCAAGAATAGTCAAAAGGTAAGCCGAGGTCAAGGGAGCCGGAGGACAGGTAAGCGAGATACAAGCCGAGTCAAAGGAGAGGAGAGGACAACAGGACAAAAGACAAGCAAGGGTCAAAACCGGAAACACAAGATAAAGAACGCGCTGAGTGACTAGCAAGCTAGAACCACGACAGGGCAATGAGCAGTAGTAAAGGTTTCCTTTAAATACCCTGTTACCTAAATAGAGACCACGCCCCCAAAAGGTCCGGAATAGCGGTTCCCGGCACTTTATGCAAATGCCGACGTCATGACGTCGACGCTAGCCGTCGCGTCATAAAAGGGGGAGGAGCTAGCGCGGCCGGCGCGAAAACGGCCGGAATATGCCGAAATGCTAGGGGAAGGGAGCCCCTAAGCAGAGAGGATGTCTTCCCTGGATACATCACCAACAGGTACCCTGACAGTACCCCCCCTTCTAGAAACGCCCACCGGGCGGATGGGACCTGGCTTAGAAGGAAAACGAACGTGGAAGGCCCGAAGAAGACGAGGAGCATGCACGTCTATACCAGGAACCCAAGACCTCTCTTCTGGACCATAACCTTTCCAGTCTATGAGGTATTGCAGCTTCCCCCTAGAAATACGAGAATCAAGGATGGACTTGATGATATATTCCTCCTGACCATCCACACGGACCGAGGATGGAGGAGCAGAGCGGGAGGAAAATCTGTTACAAACAAGAGGTTTCAATAACGACACATGAAAAGAGTTAGGGATGCGTAGAGTAGGAGGTAGATCCAGCAAATAAGAAACCGGGTTGATCCTCCTCAGTACCCTGTAAGGACCAATGTAACGAGGAGCAAACTTCAAGGAAGGAACTTTCAGGCGAATGTGTCTGGTACACAACCAGACCCTATCCCCGGAGAAAAAATAGGAGCAGGACGTCTACGCCTATCAGCATGTGACTTAAACACCGCGGAACTACGTTCAAGAATTTGTCGAGTCTGATCCCACAACTTTCTCAGGTTGGCTATATGAATATCAACCGACGGTATACCCTGGGAAGGAGACACCGACGGAAGAACAGTAGGGTTAAAGCCATAGTTCAAGAAAAAGGGGCTATTACGAGTGGAACCACAAACAAGGTTGTTGTGAGCAAACTCCGCCCAAGGAATCAGACCGACCCAGTCATCCTGGTGTTCAGAAACAAAACAACGTAGATATTGCTCAATTTTTTGGTTAGTGCGTTCGGCTGCTCCGTTAGATTGAGGATGATAGGCCGAAGAAAAATTCAGTTTGATGCCCAACTGTGAACAGAAGGATCTCCAAAAACGGGAAATAAATTGGGAACCCCTGTCTGACACAATCTCATTGGGAATACCATGTAAACGGAAAATTTCTCTAGCAAATATCACGGCCAGTTCGGGGGAGGACGGAAGTTTAGGCAAGGGAACGAAATGAGCCATTTTAGTAAACCTGTCAAGGACCGTGAGGATAACTGTATGCCTATTGGAAGCTGGTAGATCAACAATAAAATCCATAGCCAAACAAGCCCAAGGTTTGTTGGGAACGACTAAGGGCTGCAATAAACCACAAGGGAGATCCCGCGGAAGTTTATTCCTGACACAAACATTGCAAGCCTTGACAAAGTCTTCCACATCCCTACGTAAACCGGGCCACCAGAAGTCTTTGGAGATCAGGCAGTAAGTTTTGTGGATGCCGGGGTGACCAGCGATCTTGCTATCGTGGAAACAGCGAATAATGTCCACTTGGAATTTGGGAGACACGAACAAGCGGCCCACAGGAGTACGTTCGGGAGCAAGAGATTGTTCGTTCTGAATATCAGCGAGCAATGGAGAGTGTATTTTGACATTGGTGTTGGCGATAATATTGACTTCAGGAATAATAGGGAACAAAGTATCCTCTGTAGAGGTGGTAGGTTCGTGCTGACGTGACAAAGCGTCTGCCTTAGTGTTCTTAGAACCAGGCCTGTAAGTAAGCACATAATTAAAGTGTGTAAGGAACATAGACCAACGTGCCTGCCTGGCAGATAATCTTTTGGCCTCCCCCATATACGATAAATTTTTGTGGTCAGTCAAGATAGTAACTGGGAGGACGGTGCCCTCTAACAAATGTCTCCATTCCTTTAATGCCATAATGATAGCTAAAAGTTCTCTATCACCAATGTCATATCTCCTTTCAGTGTGTGATAGTTTCTTGGAAAAAAAACCGCAAGGGTGCAGCGGCTTATCTAAACTTTGTCTTTGGGATAACACTGCGCCTATCCCTGTTTCAGACGCATCAACTTCAAGTAAAAAGGGTAGAGAGGTATCAGGATGAACTAATACAGGTGCTGAGGCAAAAGACTGTTTGAGCGTTTCGAAAGCAGATAAAGCCTCAGTAGACCAGGTTTTGGTATCGGCTCCTTGTTTGGTCATATTAGTGATAGGAGCGATAACAGAGGAGTACCCTTTAATAAAACGTCTGTAATAATTAGAAAATCCAAGAAATCTTTGTATGGCTTTGAGTCCCTTAGGTAAAGGCCAATCTAAAATCGATTTTAGTTTGGTCGGGTCCATCATAAACCCGTCTTTGGAAATTACGTAACCTAAGAAAGTTACCTGAGACTGGTCAAAGCTACATTTTTCCAATTTACAATACAATCCATGTTGTAAAAGTTTCTGTAATACCTTTCTGACTTGTCTATGATGTGAATTAATGTCTCTAGAATGGATTAGTATATCATCCAAATATACAATTACACATTCATGTTGGAATTCTCTAAGAACTTCATTGATCAAGTCTTGGAAGACGGCCGGGGCGTTACAAAGCCCAAACGGCATTACGGTATACTCATAATGCCCGTAACGGGTATTCAATGCTGTCATCCATTCATCTCCTTGTTTAATTCGCACTAAGTTATATGCTCCTCTTAAGTCAAGTTTAGTAAAAATACTCGAGCCCTTTAGTCTGTCAAAGAGTTCAGTAATCAAAGGAATAGGGTAAGCATTTCTGATAGTAATTTTGTTCAATCCCCGATAGTCTATACAAGGACGTAAGGTACCGTCTTTCTTTTCTACAAAAAAGAAACCCGCCCCCGCCGGAGAAGAAGACTTTCTAATAAATCCCTTGTCTAAATTCTCCTTGATATATTCCTCTAAAACTAAGTTTTCCTTGGTGGATAGAGGGTATACCGTACCCCTGGGAGGCATAGTACCAGGGAAAAGTTTAATAGAACAGTCATAAGACCGGTGGGGAGGTAAAGTATCCGCCTTACCCTTGTCAAATACAGATTTGAGGTCTAGATATTGTAATGGTATCTGAACGTCTGTGGATTGAGAAGTGTTAACATAAGAGTTTACGGGACAAACAGAAGTAACTCTCTGCAGACATTCTTTCCTACAACCCTTACCCCAAGAAACGATTTCTCCACCCTCCCAGTCAATCTGAGGGTTGTGTCTCTTGAGCCAAGAATATCCTAGAACCACTGGGACTGCCGGGGAGGAAATTAACAGAAGGGAAATCAACTCTTCGTGGAAAATACCAACAGTAAGCTTAACGGGTTCGGTCTCATGGAATATTACTGGTTCAGATAAAGGTCTACCATCTATGGCCTCAACGGCCAAGGGTGTATCTCTCAATTGGAATGGGATACAATGCTTATTAGCGAAAGTTTGGTCTATAAAGCTTTCTGCTGCTCCAGAATCTAATAATGCCATCGTAGCAATAAACCCCTTTTCCCAAGCTAGAGAGACAGGAATCAGAAGCCTATGGTCTTTTTTATTATGCATAGAGGACAGTAATGAAACACCCAAGGCCCGTCCTCTAAGGGAACTTAGGTGCGAGCGTTTCCCGGACGATTAGGGCAACTAAGACGTAGGTGACCTCTCAGCCCGCAGTATAAACAGAGACCCTCCCTTCTTCTGTACTGTCTCTCAGCCTCAGATAAGCGAGTATTACCTATTTGCATAGGTTCTGGTGGAGTAGGATTATAGGAGTCAGGTTCTGAAATGAGGGAGCGAGTCTTACAGGAAGTCTAGTAACTCTTTCCCGAGTGTTCTGCCTCTGTCTCATGCGTTCATCTATTCTGGAAATGAAGGATACTAAATCCTCTAAATTTTCCGGAAGTTCTCTTGTGGCAATTTCATCTAGAATTTCATCAGACAACCCATTCAAGAAAACATCCATAAAAGCTTGTTCGTTCCATTTCACTTCTGCTGCCAATGATCTAAACTCTAAAGCATATTCTACAAGGGTCCTATCTTGTTGTTTAAGGAGTAACAGGGATCTGGCCGCATTAATCTTCCTCCCTGGGGGGTCAAAGGTTCTTCTAAAAGCCGTGACAAACGCAGTGTAGTTGTAGACTAAAGGATTGTCATTCTCCCAAAGGGGATTGGCCCATCTAAGTGCTTTATCTATTAGCAGGGTTATAATAAAGCCTACCTTAGCCCTGTCAGTGGGGTAAGCCCGGGGTTGTAGTTCGAAATGTATACTTATCTGGTTTAAAAAACCACGACAAGCATCAGGCGAACCCCCATATCGTAATGGTGACGTGACATGGGAAGATGCGCCTACAGTGGCTACTTCCAAACCAGTACTTAGCGAGTGGCTAGCAGTGGAACGTATTTCTTCAGACTGGGTACTGGAGCGTGTCAACAAAGTTTGTAACGCTAAAGCCATTTGGTCCATTCTATGGTCCATGGCCTCAAATCTGGGGTCAGGAGGACTAGCACCTGCAGGATCCATCTGGCCCTGTCGTAATGTCAGGATACTGACAGGGATCCAATACGCAGAGTGCGCACAGAAGGAGGTACGTATACCGGACCTTAGAATGGCCGGACTAACGTAAGGACAAAGCAAGAATAGTCAAAAGGTAAGCCGAGGTCAAGGGAGCCGGAGGACAGGTAAGCGAGATACAAGCCGAGTCAAAGGAGAGGAGAGGACAACAGGACAAAAGACAAGCAAGGGTCAAAACCAGAAACACAAGATAAAGAACGCGCTGAGTGACTAGCAAGCTAGAACCACGACAGGGCAATGAGCAGTAGTAAAGGTTTCCTTTAAATACCCTGTTACCTAAATAGAGACCACGCCCCCAAAAGGTCCGGAATAGCGGTTCCCGGCACTTTATGCAAATGCCGACGTCATGACGTCGACGCTAGCCGTCGCGTCATAAAAGGGGGAGGAGCTAGCGCGGCCGGCGCGAAAACGGCCGGAATATGCCGAAATGCTAGGGGAAGGGAGCCCCTAAGCAGAGAGGATGTCTTCCCTGGATACATCACCAACAGGTACCCTGACATAAATGTACTATTTACATCATCTGGTATAACACTCACGCTGATGCTGTGCATCCAGATCAAAGTTGGAATTATGGCCCTATGTGCGCATGTGCTCACTATATTAATAAAGTAAATGCAAGTGGGGGGGTGGGGGTGGGGGGATTTAATCTTACTGTCAGTGCACACATCTCCACACTGAACAAACAGGGTTTTTCACTAAAGTGAGAATTCAAAGTGAATTTCAAATTTTGGCCATAGTAGCCAAACTCGAAGCATAGCTGAATTAGAGAATTTTTCCCGTTTGGCTATTTTTACCTTGAATTTCAAATTCACTTTCGATTCTCATTTTAGTGAATAAATAAGTTTACTGTGATAGCGAAATTGTTACCAATTGAAATGGGTAACTAAAATGTTTACATGTGTATTGTATATGCTTTACAATATAAGCTTGAAAACTATCACGTCTCACTGCGTATCCTTCATGTTAGGGCACTTTATGGTTAATTTCATGTTATAAAGTTTGGCAAGGCTGCATTGAGTAGAATTTGGCTGTGCCCTCATGTACAACAGGAACTAACTGTTTTTGCTGCATCTGCATATATTAAAAAATAAAACCCCACAGGATGAGGCTTGACACTAAGAAGGAGGGAGGGGGGGCAGCGATTACATGCTCTACGTGTTGGATTGTGAAAATGTCCTAGTCCTGAGAATGCAGCGGGACATCTGTGTATATGACTGGAAGAATGCGTCAGCACAGACAATGAAACCACTCCAGAATGACCCCTTCAACTGTTCATGGAATTCCCAAGCACCTCTTAGTGCTTGACAGGAATTTGTTCTTTGTGGAGTTTAAATGGCCTTTACGAAATTGACCTGAAAAGGCTAGGATACAAAATGTCACTTTTGTCTGTAGAAAAACAGAAACGTTCCAACAATTAAAAATGTTAGACATTATTACATGAACAAGGGACTTCGGCATATTCTTTGATGCATGTTATTGAGATTACTAATGGTTCATTTTGACAAATTATTCGAATGATGTTCACAGGGAGGGATCGTTTCTCTTTGGCTAAAATAGTTTGAAGATTTTAAAGATATAATACAGGGGAAACATTTTTGCAAAAATATGTACGCACATTTATTCACCTTAACAGGAATTCTAGAGAATCGACAAAGAAATCACAAGCTTTTAGTCCAAATTCAACGATTTTGCTATTTATCAGCTGGGGTAGTTTTTTTTTTTTAACCAATATTTATGTTTTTCTTCGTGGTTATTCACAATTTCCAGTTTAGTGCATAAAATCCACAGATATGTTAGTATGCAGTATCATACAGTTTATATGCAACAGTAGAAGTCCACAACTTGTATTTTAGAATAAACATATATCTCAAGTGACCCTATTTAGGAAGGGCAAACCCTATTTTTAGCAGAAATCCCCATGTCCATCTCTTTTCTGAGAGCTCTGTATTGTTGGTGGGTGTGAGTATGTAACAGAGCGCCAAAGCAGTAATACTCACAATAACATGTCTAAATAAATATGTTTAGAAATCAGTCTGTGTAGGTAAGATACATTGTTCTTGTTCTAACTTACATTTTAGTTGCATCAATGATTGTTAGTAAATCATCCAAAACTTATCAGCACAGCCTCAGCCATGGCACACTCACAGTCCCTCCTGGTCCTTTTAAAATGTTAGGAGGTATGTAATAACTATTGCTACAATCTTCAGACAGTCTGTCCTCTCTTATATTAATATTATTGTCTTTGTATAGCGCCAGCTTATTCAGCAGCTCTTTACAGTGTTATGCAGGGGGAAATTTAACAATAAATGAAAGCATTACAAAATTTAACGGGAACAATAGTTTGATGAAGACCTTACTCAAAAGAGCGTTATACTGGCTGTGGTCTTTTACAGCACTAATACTGTGATGGTAAACCTAGTTGTAGAATAGGGTCTACAGCAGGGCTGCCCAATAGGTAGATCCCCAGATCTTGTAGAACTACAACTCTCTTGATGCATTTCGAAAGTCAAAGCATCATGGGAGTTGTAGTTCTACAACATCTGGGGATCTACCTATTGGGCAGCCTTGGTCTACGGCATATAGGCTAGAAGTTTATCAAAGGAAAGTAATCAACAGTGTCAAAACAATTACTGAAATATTATTATAATAATAAAAAATATTATAGATATTATTATTATAAAAATCCAAGAAATATTTATTTTGAGAATTAATACCTTGTGTCGAGTGTTTTTTGTTATTAGTACATTTGGCACTGAGACAGTGTAGGTCATCATCAGTGACCTATTTAGAAGAATTGTAAAATACTTTATCCTGGCATCGTCTTTGACCCTTACATAGAAATAGTCAAATATCTCATCCTTATTGTCGTTTGTGATCCATATGGAAGACTCATTAAAACAGGAGTGCCCAAAAGGTAGATCCCCGATGTTGTAGAACTACAACTCCCATAAAGCTTTGCATGCCTTTAGAATGACAAAGCATCATAGAAGCTGTAGTTTCAAAACATTTGGGCACATCTTGGGAACCCCTGCATTAAATGGTCCCTCTAAGCACTGTAACCTATTAATTTTACTGAAGTAGTTATAGTGCATACACCTTTCCCCTGCAGCCTTTCTTAAAAAACAAAAAAAAAATGTTTAATTCCAGAGATATACACATTTTCTTATGTGGGTACGTCTGCCTTGTTGTGCTGTGAGTCAACCAGCTGGGATACTGTCAATATCAGTTTTGTGCAACATATGCATCTGGTGTCAGCACACACTGCACACTGAGTTTAGACACCTGGAACAGGGTGCCCATTTCTGGGTCAGAGACGCACAATGTCAAAGCTCCTGCTGTCTTACTCTGAGACAGTTTAACTCTCTAACTCCTTCATACAGAAAAAAGATAAATTGGTTCTGGTTTTTGACCTCTGCTCTTGCTCTCACCTTTCCTTGACTCCCCAACACCAACATTATTTCTACACAAATCTGGCATTAACTAAACATTCTGACAGCAGTTTCACCCCTATTACTCTCACATAGCCAGTATGTGCAGGGGTCAAAGAGATCCCAGCATGTACAGTGCTGTTACCGATAAGAATGTGATTGCTGTTAACAGTCTGACTCCTGTCACTCTCAGTCAGCCAGCCTAGTTCATTACAGTCGATTATTCACTGTGTTCAGCCGTGCTCCGCTTCACGGATTCATACAAGGGTGAAGTGTGGTCAGGACATGGCGGCTGGAGTTTCCAAATGCGGGAGACAGTGTGTGGTGACTAGGAGAGGTAATATCAGTAAATTTCAAGACCTACACCAACTATCAGAAATATGTGGAATATAGGCTCTATAAGCAGCAGAACTAATAATTGATCTATTCCTAGTTTAAAATTGAAATATATATTTTTAAGAAATAGCAAGTGCTGTATTCAGATCACAATTCCTGCGTGTGGTATTAGATAACATTAAAAATAAATAACTAACAAATTCTCTATTCAGTGTTTATAAACTGTATACAGCATAGTTGTGGGTTGGTGCTCTGGGCCTGTGCAATCTACTACACTGACAAAATGAAAGATTTTAGTTGGAAATTCAATATTACAGAGCTATAGGTTTGTTCTTCCCCATTGTTATGACTTCTTTTCTTTGTTCGTCTTTACAGATCTTTATTTAATGCACTGGCCTGATGCCCATGTGCCAGGTAAGACTGCACGAGAGATCCGAGCAGAGACTTGGCAGGCAATGGAGGATCTGTACAGACGAGGTGAGTAGCTTATGGGTTTAAAACCTCTCCAAGAGCTTGACTCTGATACATGTTATTTGAATATTTTTTAGGATACAATATAATTAGCCCTTGTCTTAATAACAGGAAGCATCAGTACTTAAAAGGACTAATTTTAAGATATTGTAGTATAGTATAATATTATAATGGAATGAATTACCTCTTTACATCACTGTAAGGAACAAAGGGGTTAAAGAGACCTTATTCTAGCCCTTTTTTAAACCAAAAGAAAAAACCTGTTATTTATCTGGTAACGGTTATTTTTATTGATGTCCCCATTGTTGAGTTATAACTGACTAAAGCTGTACCAGACAGATAAGCAACAGTATCCAGTTGATAGAAAGTAGCAAGGACTAGCCTTCCAGAAATGATATATTGTGGTACAGTTATCACAAGCCTAGAGGACACTGTCATTAATCAGGGAGACAGGTGACCTTTAACATGTACAGCTAAAGCCTATCAAGATAGTGGAAGGATTGCTATAGTGTAAATTTCTTGGAGGGGGGTGTGGAGGGGGGAGGGGGGGGGCAGTGGGTGGGGGGAATCATGCATGTATACAGAAAAGTTATGTATTTACCTTGAACATATATCTCAGTCTATGGGAAGCGAAATTGTGAAAAATAAAGGCTGTAACGTTTTCCTGACCTAACGGTACTTGAACAGTGTAATCTGGGTTTTTGTATTGTACATGAGAACAGGAAGTTATAGACCTCAGACCTGAGAAATTGTTCGACTCTACCACACTGGCTAATGAAAGCCAGTAGCATGGTTAACACATTGTTTAATAACGACATTCACAGCCAATCTGCGTTTTAACAACTCTGCAGTTACTTCAGTTGACCATGCCTTGCCCATTCCTCATGTTATTCACACACTGTAAAAACCTTAAAAAAACAAGTAAGTTGCACCATGTTTAAATTACAGTAATCATACCAATTAATTTAATTTGGGTTAATGTCTTATGTTCGTCTGTCCTCTGTTTGTTCCCATGTTTCCAGATGTTACCTCTCTAAGGCAGCATCGATATTATGGAATTTTTATTTCCGGCCAATAAGAATTTTATCTAGTCTTTAGTAATTTTAATACATTTACATCCCCATCATTTTGTTGCTATGAAATTTGGACGTACAAAATAATGTGTAATAGTCCTCCAGAGGCTCACACAATCTTGGGCAATAGTGGACTCTGTACATCTTGGGTCCCAAAGATTCCACAATTATGGCGGGAAGCCACCGAGTTTTGTAAGATCCATAGGATCGAATCCAGACCTCTTGGTGGACTACAAAAAAAATGGAAGACTCATGGGTCGTGATCATCTTCTCTTGAGAATGCAATACATGTTCATGGACAGTCTTAGGGCAAAACATGTCAAAAGCAGTCCATGGCCAACATCCTAGAAGAAGCTCAGCTGGTTTTGTACCGGTTGTAGCATGTGGTGTTGTTTTATAAACAAAAAGAAAAGGCAATATGGACCTCTAAGACAATATGGATCTCTGGCATGTTGATGCCACTGTGACTTTAATGTAGTTCTTGAAAGTCTGTACGAACTGTTCTGCTTGACCATTGGTCGTTAGTTGGTAGGGTGTGGTTAACTTGTGCTTGATATTATGAACAGTAGTAAAACTCTGGAACTCAAGGCTTGTGAATTGGGCACCATTACCTGTGACAATCTTCCTGGGGTACCCACACATGGCAAAAAGGTGCAATCAGTGCCATGTTCTTGCTGGGGGGCTTTGTGGATGGCAGTGTGCAGTGTGTTCTTACTGGGGTCAGTGGATGATACTGTGCAGTTTGTTCTTACTGGGGTCAGTGCATGGCATCCTATACATTACTGCTTCGGACGCTGACTGATTTAAGATGGCTGCCACTCTCTCTCACCTGTGAGTCATCACAGGGGTGGAGCCACCAGTTAAAGTGAGAGGGATGTGAGAGAGCATGTTGTAAAGTTAAGGTATTAAAGTATTGACACAAGAGTATAAATATATAGGCTCACTGTTATCTCCATGTCATTACTACTTCAGATATTGCCCCACAATAAGGCTCAAATACTATATGAGATACCTCATAGTGTCTCCATGTGCAAATGTTTTCCATTCATGGAGCACTTTGAATTTGTGAGATGCTTATTTGCCCTAAAATGTTGCATTCATTTTTCTCCAGTTCTACATTTTAAAACACTGCATTGGGTATGCTGCTTATTTGGTGGGTTGTTATACTTAAGAGATGTAGAACTTTATAAATACATTTCAGGTTTTTATTGAACTAGTGTACAAAGGTTTAAAAGTACACAGAAAAAAACTCAATGTGTTTGTAAAAACCATCTGCCGCCAGTCTAGTCCAATTACGTTATATTTTCCTTTAGTAGTTTATCATCGGTGTTTTTTATTTATTATTTTTAATGAATTTCATATTGACTGACTTACATGTATACCCAGTAAGTAATAATTCACTTATTGGGTGTGTTTGCGTTCCCAATGTGCAGTTTAAAAATAAGGTATCCACCCAACACTGAAAGCAAAGGTCAAGTCCACTTTCAATGGTAATATATAGATGCTGAATCTATATTGGAGTGGAGTGCTAAGTATATATCAACTCATATGGACATGAGCCTGTATAGTAATTGGCTGAGCAGAAGGCACCTTTATGTTCTTAAGGGCAGCATCACACCTCTAGTGGATGAATATCCTCCAAGCATGTAGAAAGGGAGAAAGGGCATACAATAGTGCATAGAGTCTGGAAATAATTGTGACTTGACCTATATATATATATATAGAGAGAGAGAGATAGAGATAGATAGATGTAAGGCTTACCTTGTTCGGAGCCTAATGTACCTAGCTGTGAGGTGGAAAGGCTGGGTGTCAGATTGTGGGGTGACACCTCCCCTAAGATGTGCAGAAGCCACAAGGTCAAGATTGGACACCAGATGAATCCAACTGTAATTTATTAAATTGATTAATATGTTATTAAAACAATATAAAATATAAAGACAATGTTGGTAATAGTCCAATGGGTGCAGTTCCTGTTGTTAATCCTTTGCCAAAACGCGTTTCGCTTGAATCCAAGCTTCCTCAGTCGGCTGTATCATGTAGACATCTGTTTCTTCTTTTATATATTCGTGCCAGGTCTGTTTTGCCGGTCACTGGAGTCCTTTCCGTCCATTCGGAGGGCTTTGTCCATAATTAATTCTTAAGGCTTTACATGTGTAATCTTCGGTGGCTATCAATGACGCACGCGATACTTGCGATACGTCACTTCCTTAATAGCCCACCGGTATCATGCATTACTAATCTGCTTATGGGCGGAAGTGGCGTCACGATCCTCCGTGGTACGTCACTTCCGCCCTATACATTGCGATCAGCTGCGGCTCCTAAATGATGTAAATAAGAAAAGAGAGAAGACATAGTTCTTTCATTTTGAATCACAAAAACATAAAGAAAAAGATAAATAGGAAGACAATCAATATTCAATATCCACAATAAAAGTTATCCACAATAACAATTATATAATAAAATATAGTAATAATTGATGTGCAATGAAAAAATGAAAAAATCATATTGATAAATGTGTTACATAATTTAAAACAGAACATAGGATTTCATTTTCAAAGGGAATTTTGAGATATTAGTAAAATAGATATAATATATATAGAGAATATAAGTAAGGAGGGGATAATAATACTAAAAATTGTGATATTACGAATTCTAATGTCAGGAGGATAATAATACTAGAAGTTGTGATATTAAGAATTATAATGTTATACAGGGAGTGCAGAATTATTAGGCAAGTTGTATTTTTGAGGATTAATTTTATTATTGAACAACAACCATGTTCTCAATGAACCCAAAAAACTCATTAATATCAAAGCTGAATATTTTTGGAAGTAGTTTTTAGTTTGTTTTTAGTTATAGCTATGTTAGGGGGATATCTGTGTGTGCAGGTGACTATTACTGTGCATAATTATTAGGCAACTTAACAAAAAACAAATATATACCCATTTCAATTATTTATTATTACCAGTGAAACCAATATAACATCTCAACATTCACAAATATACATTTCTGACATTCAAAAACAAAACAAAAACAAATCAGTGACCAATATAGCCACCTTTCTTTGCAAGGACACTCAAAAGCCTGCCATCCATGGATTCTGTCAGTGTTTTGATCTGTTCACCATCAACATTGCGTGCAGCAGCAACCACAGCCTCCCAGACACTGTTCAGAGAGGTGTACTGTTTTCCCTCCTTGTAAATCTCACATTTAATGATGGACCACAGGTTCTCAATGGGGTTCAGATCAGGTGAACAAGGAGGCCATGTCATTAGATTTTCTTCTTTTATACCCTTTCTTGCCAGCCACGCTGTGGAGTACTTGGACGCGTGTGATGGAGCATTGTCCTGCATGAAAATCATGTTTTTCTTGAAGGATGCAGACTTCTTCCTGTACCACTGCTTGAAGAAGGTGTCTTCCAGGAACTGGCAGTAGGACTGGGAGTTGAGCTTGACTCCATCCTCAACCCGAAAAGGCCCCACAAGCTCATCTTTGATGATACCAGCCCAAACCAGTACTCCACCTCCACCTTGCTGGCGTCTGAGTCGGACTGGAGCTCTCTGCCCTTTACCAATCCAGCCACGGGCCCATCCATCTGGCCCATCAAGACTCACTCTCATTTCATCAGTCCATAAAACCTTAGAAAAATCAGTCTTGAGATATTTCTTGGCCCAGTCTTGACGTTTCAGCTTGTGTGTCTTGTTCAGTGGTGGTCGTCTTTCAGCCTTTCTTACCTTGGCCATGTCTCTGAGTATTGCACACCTTGTGCTTTTGGGCACTCCAATGATGTTGCAGCTCTGAAATATGGCCAAACTGGTGGCAAGTGGCATCGTGGCAGCTGCACGCTTGACTTTTCTCAGTTCATGGGCAGTTATTTTGCGCCTTGGTTTTTCCACACGCTTCTTGCGACCCTGTTGACTATTTTGAATGAAACGCTTGATTGTTCGATGATCACGCTTCAGAAGCTTTGCAATTTTAAGAGTGCTGCATCCCTCTGCAAGATATCTCACTATTTTTGACTTTTCTGAGCCTGTCAAGTCCTTCTTTTGACCCATTTTGCCAAAGGAAAGGAAGTTGCCTAATAATTATGCACACCTGATATAGGGTGTTGATGTCATTAGACCACACCCCTTCTCATTACAGAGATGCACATCACCTAATATGCTTAATTGGTAGTAGGCTTTCGAGCCTATACAGCTTGGAGTAAGACAACATGCATAAAGAGGATGATGTGGTCAAAATACTCATTTGCCTAATAATTCTGCACTCCCTGTATATTACCACAGATACCACTATTTAGAGCAGCTTGATTTGAATGTTTGCAATATCTATAGAATTATAAGCACTATATACACACTTATTTTCTCTTTTTCAAGTCCACTTTCGAGTTCACTAATTTGCATAATACCAAATTAATCTTGACACCTCATCCAATTTCAGCTTGAAAGCCTGGTGGGACAGTTTCATCTCATCACACCTATGCTAGTAGAAATTTGTATATTATATACCGTATATACTCGAGTATAAGTCGACCCGAATATAAGTCGAGACCACTAATTTTACCCCAAAAAACTGGGAAAACTTATTGACTCAAGTATAAGACTAGGGTGGGAAATGCAGCAGCTACTGGTAAATTTCTAAATAAAATTATATCACCCAAAAATTATATTACTTGAATATTTATTTACAGTGTGTGTATATAATGAATGTAGTGTGTGTGTGTATATAATGCAGTGTGTTTGTATGAATGCGGTGTGTGTGTATGAGTGCAGTATGTGTGTGTATGAATGCAGTGTGTGTGTATGAGTGCAGTGTGTGTGTATGAATGCAGTGTGTGTGTGTGTATGAATGCAGTGTGTGTGTATATAATGCAGTGTGTTTGTGTATGAGTGCAGTTTGTGTGTGTATGAATGCAGTGTGTGTGTATATAATGCAGTGTGTTTGTGTATGGGTGCAGTGTGTGTGTGATGCAGAGTGTGTTTGTGTGTGTGATGCAGAGCCTTGGTGGTGGGTGGGCATTTTTATTATTTTTTTATTATTATTATTATTATTATTTTAACTTTTTTTATATTATTAATATTTTATTTTATTATTATTTAAATTTTTATTTATTTAGATTTTTGTGTCCCCCTTACCTGCTTGATACATGGCCAGGGAGGGGGGCTCTCACTCCCTGGTGGTCTAGTGGCATGGGCTGTGTAGGAGGGGGGCTGGCAGGAAGTCTCGCGGTCTGAGTGCCGCGCGGAGCTTTGCCCGTGGCAAAGCTCTGACCCCGCGGCTCTCGCAAAACTTGCAGTGGGAGCTGACAGGGCAGCTGACCGGACCGGAGGAGAGAGAAGGGAGCTGACAGGAGCTGCAGGAAATGTAAGTTACAGCTCTCTGCCAGCCCCCAACACGACTGCCGGGCTTGTAATGAACCTGGCCGTCCTGGTCTGTATTATGGCAATGTAAGTTGCCATAATACAGACATTGACTCGAGTATAAGACGAGTGGGGGTTTTTCAGCACAAAAAATGTGCTGAAAAACTCGTCTTATACTCGAGTATATACGGTAGTTTAAGATTATACTGGGAATGTTATTTCATTTTAATTTGATGGTTTATTCAGCTATCTTGTTCATTTGTTTATTTTATTAAGAGGGAATATGATAGCATTATATAAATATATTTGGGGCCAATACAATCCATTGTCTGGAAATCTATTTATAAACAGGACTGTACATAAGACACAAGCTCACGTATTTATAATGGGAAAAAAGGAGGTTTAGTCTAAGGCAAAGGAAATGTAAATTAAGAACAATAAGGATGTAGAATTCTCTGCCTAAAGATGTGGTTTGGTCAGAGTCTGTAGAGATCTTTAAACAGCAACTGGATGAATCCTTGCAAAAACATAATATTCAGAGATATAATTTACAATAGGTGAGGTAACAGCTTATTGATCCAAGTAGATATCTGACTGCCATTCCGGGGTCAAGAAGGATTTTTCTCCTAGTTTGTTGCAAAATTGGAAAGTGCTGTAAACTGTGTGTTTTGCCTTCTTTTGGATCAACAGGAAATACATATGTGAGAAAGGCTGAACTTGAAATAGTGGAGTTTTACTTCACTATTTGGGCAGAAACACCTCTAGTGGCTGTCAGTCGATAGGCACTAGAGGCAGGTTTACCCTGCAATAAAAACATAGACATTCCTGGAGAATGGCAATGTTTTTCAACTGCAAGGTTGGTAAGGGAGTGGGACTTGGCACCTGGATGCCTATAGTGTTACTTTAAGGTCCAGTACAGGCGTTAACAATACAGGGCAAAGTAATCACATTTCTGATGTTAAGCTTCAGGCTCTCAATGATCACAATTCTAAACATCGTGCAGACAAGGAGGCATGATAATAAACTGTTTATTTAACGCTTTTCCTCTGGAGAGAACACTTCTGGTGCGGCTCGATGTTATGATACAAATCTGTAATATAAAATCTAGGTTAATTTTTGAAGTCTTCAATCCAGGCAAAATTCTGCCAGAATCAGTGTCAAGGGGTTCTTAAGCAACCAGCAGTCAAGTATAATGCCCTAGCTGGTGAAAGATGTGTAATCAAAAGATAAATTTACTAATCATTAACGAGGACAATAATTCAAAAATACATCCAAAGAAAGTATATGCAGTGTCATTAATCTTTCAGGACTTAATTTCCAAAATATTGTATTAAAAAGCCTAGCATGCAAGCTGTATTTATATGATGAAACAGTCAATGGCCTCAATGTGAACAGTTAAAGGAAGGCAGTAAACCTGTGAGATAGGGTTGATGGCGGAAACATTAACCTAAAGGGAGAATTAGAGAACTGAATTAATATAAGGAAGAAGATAATAAAGTGGTAATTAGTGACAGGAGCATTAAGTGAAGGAAAAAGACAAATGAATAGAGGTGTGATTCTTGAATTCAAGAAAATTGCTAAAAGTAGTGAAAATAGCAAGAGACCTAATACTAGATCTTATAACTTCAATTTTACCCAAACTTTACTGAAATTTAAAGGGACACTTTAGTCACCAAAACAACTTTAGCTTAATGAAGTAGTTTTGGTGTATAGATCATGCCCCTGCAGTCTCACTTCTCAATTATTCGCATTTAGTAGTTACATCACTTTGTTTAGTCACTCCTCCCAGCCATTAACTTCCCAGAGTACTGTAGCACAGGGGAGGCATGAGAATCAGACGTGTGTTGTTCTCCTCAGAAGCCACCTCAAAAATATCTAAATTGGTCTATTTGATGTTTAAAATATTGATTTCTTAATTTTGGGCTCACAAAATAGGGGTCATCTTATACATGGGGGGCGTCTTTTACACAAAACAATACGGTAACTTACATCTG